TGTTTCTTTTTAAAATTGTGTATCAGCAAGTACGACTGCAAAACTCTTTAAAATGCTCTTTGCTGAAAGAATATCTTCAAACAAAGCGTCATTACCTAGGAGAGCGTCTGCAGTCATCTTTCTCTTGTCGGCTTGCTTTACGACGCAGTGGTAGGTTCCAGCTGCGTAGGAGCCGACGTGGTTTATAATGAGTCGTCTGCCTTCCATCTTGTATCTAGGACGAGATGAAACCATGACTATATCGTAAACTGAACTATGTGATTCTTTAATCCAGAATTAAATGAACTTAAAATAAGAAAATAGTTCCATGTCACAGAATAATCTAGGTTTGGAATAATGGTCTTAAACTATATTTATATTGATATTACGAATTTAAAACCCGGTTATTAGATATATTGGGACGGAAAACAAATACATTTTACATAAGTTTTGTACTTCCTGCTTGTCTTGAAACTCTAGAATCACCGGTAAAAAGTCTTTTGTCTGATGACGTTATCCATATCTAAAGCAATTTTAGTCCAAGGCTTTTTTTTTTGCTAAATACCTCAATTTCACACATTGAACTTTTAGCCCTACCAAGAACATGCTATTAGACAAAAACAAAGACAATGTTGTGAAAAAAATCATTAATCAGTGACACTACCTTGGGTCAGTACTGCCTTTGGTAATCCGGTCTCCGTTAGGCGTGATCCAGTAGATCTCGGTAGGTGTCGCTGTTAGGTCATAAAGACACCGTAGTATGACTTTAGATCCTTCGTTTCCAGTGATCGGCCGGGCGATGTTGGCTACAAAAAAGATAATAAATAATAATAATAGTAAATAAATAATAAATGAATAAAAATTTGCAGGATTAGAGTGGCACAGATATCTTCGCAGTGAAAGATCTATTTTATGAAGCTTCAGTTTGCCCATTATTTTAATTTTAATCCATAGCCCATGATAACTTCATGTTTGCTTTATTTATTTATTTTTTTTCCTAACTGAAAATATCTTGAAATTCCTAGGGAACGCGTGTCATACACTGTTCTCTAGATTTATAATATGGGTGCAGTGATAAAGTAAATGATGCTTTATTTCTTTCTTTTTTTTCATGTTTTGGTGTCTTTATTTTATTTTACTCTTTCTCGCATGGTGACAGCCACCCAGCCATCAAACTTGGCGCCATTTGCCACATAATTACCTGTGTTACACGCATTATTGATACAGAGTCTTTCCTGAAGATGGCCGCCGTCGCAATGGCCGCCCCTGGTCCCATCCTCTCCCTGACACACTCGCTTTCTCATCTCAACCCCCTCGCCGCAAGTGACGGTGCATGATGACCAGCGACTCCACTCCGACCACCGAAAATGGACGGCTGCAGTGACCGTTGGACGGCCTTGGCCCCTATTCTGTAAAGCCGTGGTCATATGGATGCGTTTCATTTGGGGGATTGCTAAAAATGACAAAAGTTTGTTTGTGATGTGGATTGGTGTATTCTACGCTTAACTAATTACAGCTGTCTCCAAAATAACGTGCGATTAAGTGTTGTTTAAATCACGTTTAAATTGATCTCAGTTCGATCATGCGCTATACATAAAAGACATTTCAGATAACTTCTGTGACCTTTGCCAGTGCGAACTTGATCAAAATGATAGTAGCCTTTTTTCCAAGTCTTTTATTAACGACGCAAGTGAATTGGAAAGTGAAAAATTGAAAAGATATGCAAAATAAATTAATGTACAAAAAATAATACCTGATGAAATAAATGATGGAAACATCAGTCACACTTTCCATTATAAAAAAAATTAAATGCAACTAAATGCATATCATACCTTTAACTCGGTGTGGTTTGGGGCATCTTCTACTCACACATCGAACAACTTCATTTCCGTTTCCGGGACACATGACCAGACCCGAAGTGATAATACATGTTCTGGACCTGCTTCGGAAACCCATGCCACAAGTCGCTGAGCATTCTGTCCATGGTAGCCACTGCGACCAGCCGAAAAAATCTATTTCAAAACGAACAGCATTTTATATAATAATCATTATTATTTCAATCATTGCCATAGAATAAAAAAATCAAATAAGTGCAAAACCTTTTATATTCACATTTCATTAAAATTGTGTTACAGACCAAAATGAGTGCGCCTAAAATGCTTTTTTTTAATTTTTTGAATTCTAAATACATCTTATAGACTCATCTTGGAACTGACACTTTAACTTAGACTGTGAATCTATCGATGATGTTTATACAACTTCTGGATAATATCGAGGTGTCCCAGACCTCTTTGAGCGCTGATTTCGTTGAAAAACCTAGGGAAAGCTAGGGGTTCTAATTTGAATCACTATTGGATGTTTATTTTAGATATTTTTTTCCCTTTATTATTTTTATTATCCTTATATTCATATATAAACCGTACATTTTCAATTATACCATTACCTGGACAGCTCTGTAACTTGACACACGCTTTCATCTCTCGCCATTTTCCGCCCGGACACGGTTGGCCTTCAACTCGGACACACGATCGGTATCTGGTCAAGTGCCCCGTCTGGCCACAAGTCACCGAGCAGTGACCCCACGCTGACCACTCAGTCCAGGTGGACACGTAAAACGTTTTCCCCTTATCACACAACCTCGTAGCGGGCTTAAGGGCGGCGGGCTTAAGGGCGGCGGGAGTCTGTTGAGGGCTTGTCTCTTTTCTAAGACTGGCCAGATAAAAGGGCCCACTGGTATCGTTGTAGGCCTGGGCCATGTATTTCTCATTTTGGTCTATGTTTCGAGCGTTTTGGCTGGCGGTGGACTGCACGACTGTTTTCCTGAAGCTTGTTCCTGTACGTTTCATGGTCGGCTTGCCTTCTGGCTCTGACTTTTGTACTTTCTTGTACACAAGGCTGTTCTCTTTACCTTTTCCAAGTTTTCTTTGCATTTGCTTTGTTTTCTTTGCTTTGATAACAGCATGCAGTTTCTTTGATTTCTTTTTCCCTTGCGTTGGTTTTATATCCACCTTTATCTCCACCTTCTTGCGAAATGGAGCTTTGGTAGGGATAATTTCCACAGCTTCAAGAGGGGCCATGTTGTTTTTCTTCGGTCTTTTGGTGGGGATGGTTGTAGGTATTATCTCCACCTTGTTGTAAGGTACGATGGTTTTCTTACGAAATGGGGCTTTGGTAGGGATAATTTCCACAGCTTTAAGCGGGACCGTGTTGTTTTTCTTCGGTCTTCTGGTGGGGATGATTCCCACTCGTTCGTACGGTATGCTGCCTTTCTTTTGCTTTGGAGCGCGGGTTGGGATAATTTCAACGGCATTATATGGAACTTTATATTTATCTTTGACCTTCCTTGATGCATTACTACTGGTGACATTGGGAGTCGTGGCGCTAGCAGTTGGGGTTATCTTAACGACATCATGTGGAACCTTTGAGCCGTTTACTTTGGCAGCGTTATTTTTTACCTTTCTTGATCCACTGCTAGTAGTGGCATTTTGATAATATGACCGGTTGGAAACAGTTGTATTCAAATTATTAATAATCTCTGTTTTGTTTTTGACTTTGTGTAAATAGCTTGAAGATTGCTTTTTGTTGTGTTTCTTCTTCAAATGCGCAATGAGCGTTTTTAGGAAAGCAACGTGCATTTTGTGCTCTTTGGCAGATTTATAAGAAGGCGGGTGTTTGTTGCCAGATTTAAGACTTTTTAACAGCCACGGGGTGAACTTTTCCTTCCAAAAAGTGAGCAATCTTTTGTCCTCTGAGATCACGTCCTTCTCTGGGTATATAGTGGGGGAAATATCCATTTTTGAGCCATTTGTTTTTGCATTTAACTTGTGTTCCTTTGTACGAATGCTTCCATCTTTCAAAACGTTGACGGACATTGCCCGCCTGAGTGCGTCGGCAAGTTTCTTGTCTTTCGACGGCAATCCAATATCAAGATGCTTGATTTTGTCCTTCCCTTCTTTAGAAAGTTTTTTTACGTCCGATGTTTTAAGTCCTCGACGTTCGGTGACGTTCGTTAGTTTCACTTTGACGTGCATTTTTGGAGGTGTTTTGTCTTGCACACTTCTTTTGTGAGTTCTCACGTTTGTGTTATCTGCCTCATAATTTCTAGCGTACCTGGCAGAGGGAAGTGATTCCACTTCCGTGTCTAATTTGGCATGACGTCTCGATTTTGCCGACAAATCGTTTTTGACTTCTGTACAAACAAAATTTGAATTCAATTACAAACTTTTCATTCAACATGCTATTCATATATTTGTAAGATTTTCACTTTACTACAACTTAAATATAATACCATAACCGAATTTTCGAAAAAAAATTTTTTTTCATGTTATATTTACTTGTTAATTTCTTCGTGTTCATTTGTTACAATGGACTTTTTTCTGAGAAAGTTGTACGTTTAATATACGTTTTAACAAGGCCAGTTTCAGATACAAAATTTCCATTTTAACTCGGTTCCTGGATACCGTTGTAAAACTAAGCTTTTTAGCCCTTTATTGAACAGCATGGTGATTTGCTGTATATCAGAAATTACAACGGGCTTTTGTGATAGTGCTAACCGTTACGTTGGTCATTATTTTCATTAAAATAGATCTAAGTCTACTGAATACTACCGTTTCTGGGCTGACCTGCGAGTTCTTCCTTGTGTAATCCATTTGTCTTAACAGTAGCAAACAACAGCAGAACACACAGGAACATGGTACAGTCTACCAGTCGGAGCATCTTCTTGCACAGTGCAGAAAATAACGAAAACTATCAATTGGGTAAGAACTGAACTATGGCATAGTCCTCCATTTTGTTGGCTACGCTGTTGACGCGACCTTCACGTCCAGCGTTTATGACGCACACGTGTGACGTTGCGTCGTCGGTGCAAGGCGCGCCAAAGATGACGAACTGTGTTAGCGAAACGTCATGTGTGCCCTTTCTATGTCCCCATTAATGAAATCTATATGAATCTCTAAGCTTTTCGTAAAAATAGTGCTCATAATGTGATCATAACCTGAATAACAACACAGACTCGCTTAGCATATAATAAAAATAATTTCATTATTCTGATGAGCATTTAAAACAGAATACAATCAACTGAAAATTTCAATATGCAGATAACTTGATTAAGATTAAATACAGAAATTATATGTAAGATGAGATATGATATTCTATACTAAAAAGTGGTCCTTAACAATAAATTATGTGTGTGTGTGTGTGTGTGTGTGTGTGTGAAACAGAGAGAGAATGAAGACAAAGTGAATGCATGAAAAATAGTGAACTCAAAGTGAACTTATTAAGAAGAAAAAAAACAGGCATATAGGCCTACATGCATATTGCATATTGATCAGCACCCTTTCTTTCCCCAAAAAACAATCACTGCTTGATCCAATTTTTAAAAAATCTTATCTGCTTTTGTATCTAAAATGATATAAATAAATGTTCTAGAAAAAGACAAAAATACGAAGATCTGACATGATACAATATTATTACCAATCTCATTTAGACCACTTTTGGGTATGCAGTAGGCCTACCCTGTTTTCATCTAATTAATTTATCAAGCAATCTTAATTATTTTGGTGCCATTCCATAACTTCAGAAAAGCACCTGAATGCAAATATTCTTCCATTCCAGCGAATTGCTTATTAAGCATGATCTTCTGCATGAGCTCACAATGGCTCCAGTCATATTGCCTTACATTCACCAAGCAATCTTTGCCAGTCACATCCTGACATGATCAATTGTTTTAGCCCATTAACACAAGTTTTTTGTAGTTCTGCAAAGAGTTTTTAACAAAGAGAATGTCCTTAAAATGTCAAGCTGTAGAAATTCCATGTCTGTTTTGTTATTTTCTGATTGTTCAACATTTCTATCCATGTAACCCCAGATGTCCACTCGCTGTCTAGTTGATGACCTGAGCCTCTTGATGCGTGGCAAACAGTCCATTTGGCTCACCATAATCTCCTATTGTCTTATATGAAGATACTTGAATAGGGGAAATAAAAATTCAAAATTAGAATGATCAAAATTACACAATTTCAATCAGTTATACTTCATGATTAAGTGACCTTGAACTTTACCAAATCATACCCCATGGGGCTCCTTTAAAATAAATCTATACACATTTCCAAGGATGGAAATTTAACATAATAATTATTACAACTTACAAGAGTTAATTTCAAGAAAATAAAATGTTTCAGTTAATAATAAGCAGTTCTGTTACTTGGGCTATTTATAATAAGTAACATATATTTCTCTGACTTACTAATTAATAATTGCTTCATGTTAGAAAATGTTAATGTCCTCATTTATTCTGTCATATTTTCATATTTGCTTTTATTTTTTTGCTCAATAATCAGTCTTTTAATGTCTATATCAAAATATTGCAATGATCACAGTTCAAAATCTGGTTTTGCGTGTCTTTGTCTGGAACATTTGTGTGCATTTTGCATCGTTATGTTTGTAACTTACACGGCAAGGTGAAACCAATAAACATTTTATGTCATGCCCTTAAAATTGTGCAAAACAAAGCTCATCGCAAAGACTTTGACAAAAAATACCAATTGCCTATATATGAAGCAAAGCCTTAATACTAGCACAGTAGCCCCTAAATAATTTACAGTCACCATTTAGCAAAGCATTTAGCTCAAAAATGAATGACCAATATATAGGAAAACTATAGCTCAACAACATACCGCCAACATACAGCAAAGCATTTAGTTAAAAAACATGCCACCAACATATAGCAAAGCTTAACAATCTATTGCAACATTTATTTCTCAACTTGCCAATTTATCAATATAAAATTTTACTTTAAAAAAAGGCTTAAACATATTTCATGGCAACTATATACCATCTTCATCCCCACTGGTTGTAACAAGTCGTTTGCCTTCCTCTCCCTCTGGTGGGTGAAGCCCGCACACGCCATATTTCCTCATAAGCGGCAGGATGATAATGTCGTTATACAGACACATGCCCACAAACAGAAGGAAGAAACCAATGAGCTGAAAGAAAAGAAGATTCAGGATGAAAACTTGACTTTTCTGTGACCATAGAAGTGGAACATGGAAATACTTGCCATATTTACAGCTGTAGAAAGAAAAACAAAAGCAAACTGAGCGTAATAAATAAATCACTAAAAACAAATTAATATGTTAGTTAACAAAAAAAGAACAAAAAAAAAAAAAAAAACATTGGATACCACCACATAAATTTATAAGAGTAAGCTTTATTTGGCTGGAGGCTCAGTTGAGCTCTAACTAAGCCAGAAATGAACTATCATTGAAGTATGTGAAATCTACACCCTAAATGATCAGGCAACCTTAGCATATAGCATCTGTTAATCTTACTGCCTCCAGAAAGAGTCTCCAGGGAGTTGGACCTATCTACATAGAACAATAGTTACATTGGGAATGAGCCCTAAGGCATGCATGTGTACCTGTAAATATTGGAAGGTCTGCCAGCCTACGGCCAGGGTGACCACCCAGATGGATGCTGTCCTCAGGCTGTCCAGGACCATACGCGTTGTCGCACTCATCTCCTTGGTAACTGAGATACCAGAGAAGTTGAAAAATGCGATACTGACTATGTTACCTGAAAGAGATAAATTGAGTGTGATTAAACCACGCTCTTCTGTCTTAATGACTAATAATTCTGTCTTATTACAGTAACAATTAGAGATTTACATTTTGACATTTTGATTTACAGACTGACATTTTGCTTATACCAATGAATTAATATTTCTATACCTCACATGCTACCTGGTGACTGGTATTATATATAGCCATACACCACATACCTCATAAGTTTTTTTTTTTTTAACAATAAGTGCTTTAAACTACAATAATAATAATGTTAACTTTGTATTCAAGTCAGTACACAAAATTCTACATATTAAAGTATATTGAGATACAGTGTGAAATGATATGCATTATAAATAAATAAATATATCAAATTGTTTTTCATTAGTTCCTTATCCTACAATCAATTTGGTCATTGTACCCATTACCTACCAAAGGTTGCAAGTGCCACAATCCAGCTATTAGATATTTGTATAAATCCATCAATGGCATCTTCTAACCTCCCTTCTGGATTGTCGCTAAATGGATGCCCAACATCAATGTAGTACATAGGGACCAGCAGTATACCAAGGATAGTAAAACCAAAGAATCCTAAAAAATTGCAAAATACTAAGATTAGGTAATTAAGTGCTAAATAAATTCTTACTATTATAACTGTTCCAATGCTGTTGCTTTAATTCCAACAGGGTGCTGATGTGGAAGGACACTAGACTTGCTGTCACACTTAACACACTAGTACTGTCACATCGCTGTGACACCTAACACATTGATGCTGCCATGCCTCACACACATTTTCACAATTTACACTCTGAAATAGTCACAGCTAACGGCCCTTTGCTGTCACAGCTTACACATTGTCACACCTAACACACTGATACTGTCACATCTAACACAATGAGACTGTCACACCTAACACACTGATGTAGCTCAACACATTGATATTGTCACAGCTAACACATTCCTACCTTCCCAGCCTACTGCCTGTAGAGGTGGCACATTGTGTTTCATCACAAATTTCTCCTCCACAACCATCTGCACTGCCACTATGATCTGTGCCATGATAATTAATAAGTCACCTGAAATATTGGGATATATAAAAGTGTATAGATTATTATTATTATTATTATTTTTATTTTATTTATTAATTTTTTTTTTTTGCCCCTCACTATTCTGAAAATGATTTGGGGGACAACTGCCAATAATGTGGATATTTTCTAACAGTATACCACATTGTGCTAACATTACTAAATCCAAAATCTTACAAGAACTTAAATGGTTTTCATTACCTGCGATGATACCGTTTGTATCAGATTTGTCATGGTCCCCAAATACGACATCAGCCACGCCCACCAGGGCCAGACCTGCGATGACCCAGAATATTCCAACCCACATGTAAGTCTTGATAATACGACCCAGGAATGCCACAGAGAGTAGAGCAGTGAACACTATAACAGCACCTGGAAATATCAATATACATTGGCCCTGATCTAAAAGCTAATCAATAAATAATACAATAGTTAATGGGATATACTAATTTAAAATTTAAATAGACTGGGCTATTTTAAATATACAGCCTTAAAAAACAATATTTTTAAGGTTTCTAATCAGTCAAAACACTGTTCTGTATACAAAATATTTTTTTCATTCTAGGTCAACACCATTTTGTTTTGGAATAATGAGAGAAATAGAGGGAAAAAAGGGAGGACTGACCCATGCCCATCTAACCAGTAAACAGCTAGCTGTAGCAGGAAGCTCTGTATAATATATATAATTACCCCTTAACATCTGGAAACTAGAGGCGTAGGTCAAATTCAACCCCAGGTACATAATGGATGTGCCACACATGTCGCAGAGTGCTGGTGGGAGAAATATCAAGGGGTTGAAATTCTGGTTGCCGAGTTCCATGGGTTTATTACGGACCTTGTTCACCAGTCGTATGATGTGGAAGACAAACAGACAGGAGAGCTCTCCTAAGAACATACCAACTGCCTGAAGTCAGAGATGAAATTTGGAGGAATTAAGTATTTTAGTAACAATACATATCTGCTGACTTTCTTATTATATATTTAATACACATGTAAAACAACTGAAAATATAGATATAATTGTGTTCATTTACATCAGTTGACAATATGCCAGCACACTTTACTCTAAGTTTTTTTTAAACAATATCACTATATATTATTTTCATATCTAACTCCAATGTTAATATTAAACACTAAGTGGTACCTGTAAAAATGGATGGTCAAATGGTCTCATATGTCCTGTGGAATCCAATGAAGATGTTTTGTCTGCCCATCTGGAAATACAGACATATAAACATATTTAAATTAAAAAAAACTGTTCAGGTTTCCAAGGTTACTATTTATAGACTTCAGTCATATATTGAGTTCTGAATCATAAAAGCACAATCTGCGAAGCAACAGAAACTTACATGAATAATAAATAAATAAATAAATAAATAAACAATTAGAATAATCTGTCTAATCTATCAGAAGTGAAAATCAGATGTACTAGTATGTAAACAATGCTATCAATGTGGAGGGAAATGGAAAATTGATATCAATATTCCATCATTTCAAAGAAGTGACATTGTTGGTACGTACATCAAGTGAATATTTTAGTATTATAGATTAAAATCTTGAATATTTGTTGTTCACAATCTGAATATTTTTCCTTTATTTTTAAAAATAAAATCACGGTTTCCAGGGAATATATTCATTGTTTTCATAAATGCACATCAAGTCATGTCATCCACTGAATCTTCATTGTAAATCATTACATTTAAAAGTATTTGTTAAGTACACAATTAACATCTCTCAAGTGAATACACTTTATTTCAATGCTGACTACAATGAGCTATAACAACAGTTAGCACTGAGGCTTTGTAATAAAATCTTATCAGTCTTTGGGCTCCATTATGTAGGAATCAACCTTAGGCTCTATTCCCATAGATTTTAGATCGATCTATCCCCGCGGGGAGTCTCACTAGATTACTTTCAGATAATCCAACTTAAATGTCCGTCCCGTCTACTACAAGCTGTAAGGGGGTAATTAACTTTCGTGTCCGCCCAGCTGACAGCTATTTAGCGTGAACCCCCAGGGAGTTCGGTCGATCTAAAGTAGGTCGATCTAATCTATGGAAATGGGGTGTTAGAGCATCACATGGTTAATTCCACAAATTGTCACTAATGTGTACTTCATATTATGAAGGAGTCCATATAGACTAGTGTAAAGTACTTTGTGGGCAAAACAGCTAGAGCCTTTTATAGATTGATTTTGTAATATATGTGCATCTTTATCACTGGTTTTATATATATAATAATGCTATGAATAATTATTCTAATTATGGCAACTATATTTTATATTTATCTACTGATATCTATCTAGGACAGGCATCCAAAAATATCTTATAGTCATTAAAGCAAGGGGATATTATGGATGCCCCCCCTCCCCTCCTTTCTTCCTGGGTAAAACTTGCCACAAAGAACTTAAGGAAACAAAAGATTGGAAAATGATCATGGCAACATTGGCATACACTTAGTCACTTTTCAGTGGATTGCCAAAACTAACTTCCCTCTTCTGCTTTCATTTCAAAAAGAATGACAAAGTATCCATTGAGACAAACGGGATGAATGAAATCATCTGTAAAATGCTATCAGTTCAGTAAACTTCCTGGAAAACTCAGCCATCATAGCAATATGTGCAGTAGAGAAAAACATGACTACATGTTATAAATGTATGGTTTTTACTAGTAACCACAACTTTAAAGTTACACTCCATGGGTTTCAAAATTCCCCAAATGCTTAGTTTTGCTATCCACGGCTTCTAATAAAACCTAACATACACCTTTGCCCCTTAAATATTTTTTCTGGTTGTTGATATTTCCAACTGAAACTTATTAGGTAGTTGGTCATGGGTTATAATGACTGGCCAGTCATTTTAAACTAAATCAACCTGTATAAATTCAATTAAAGGTCGGTGGAGAGTGGGAAAGATAAATAATTTGTGAGTCCGGAAAAATGCCCCCCCCCCCCCCCCCCCGGAAAATCTATTTTTGCATACAAATCTCATGTAGTTGCCCTTTAAATTTTTATTTCAGTTGTAACCAATTAAGAAACTGCAAATATACAGGAATAAAACCTTTTGTTCTCTTCATAACTGTATGTAGCGGTATACCAAGAGCTAAAAACATGTAGATGCTGAAACTGGATTGATACAGCTCAATGTTTTTTGCGCAGACGCGGCAGTAAACTAAAGAGTGCTTTTGGTACTGGTACAATCTGTGTGATTGAACACATAAAACGGCATTGCTAACTTATTGTTGTACAAGTAATCCACTAAAGTAATCAAATGTTAACACAAAACCTTCTGTTTGGAACAAACCAATATTATCAACGTACAAATACGTACTTTGTGGATAACGTGTTTATCGTTCCGCTGACAAACATCAGCACCGCCAGACAAATCTGGTAACATGTCCAAGCCATCGCGCCTGTTTACCGACGATCCCAACTTTCCCAGTCTTCAACTTTCTTATAGTTCAGTAGTCCTCTTAACGCTGGAATATGTTCGGACTATAAGTTAGGATCAACGCGTCTTGTCCAACCTCCCCTATCACATGATTTTCAAAGCGAAGGTCGTGTTGCAGATTTGATAATATAATTTGATGACTGATAACAGCAAGACTACAATGTGACCTCTTGGTGACCCCGCAGCGTAAACTTCCGGCTTCAACGTGAGCACGAGCGCTCGTGTTTACCTCGTCCTAACGTGGCAACTAGGAAGTGTGTTTTGTTTTTTTTCTTTAAATATCTGACTTCAGAGAAGGTTTTTTCCCAATGAATCTTGACAAAGTCAGATATAAGAACTGCTAAGGTGAATTACCCTTTCCTTCTCTTATTATGTCCATGCTTAACGTAAGAAAACGCGGTGTTTTTGGACGTTAACGATAAAAACGTTAACCAAGTCGTAAACTTAACTTTTATTAAGTTAACAAATTGAAATAAAACTACAAATTTTGATATAAGTGACTGTAGCCATTTAAAATGCATTATGATAATACAAAAACGCTTAAGTTTTATTTTTATTTTTAAATTATACCAATTTAGTCTGCAGCATCGGTGGTTAGTCAAATTTCCTGTCTCTTACCTGCAGTCCCACAATGCCCAGCGCCAGCCACGTCTTAATCATTGAATGTTGACAACCTTAGTTAACTTAAAGATGCACTGATTTGAACACGCCAGACTGGAATTTGCACGACCTGAGACGAAAGGAAAGATGTCGAGGAGGAGTGGAAGTGTTGTGAAAATTATCATCTACGTGGCGGTCGGAGTTTTAGGCCTGTACGGATTTTATTTATACAGTGATCTCCAGGGCCGACTGCAGCAAACTGAGAAAGAACTGAGCAAGTATAGATCACAGCACGAGTCGGTGTCGGCGCAGCTGCAGGGTAAGTGGCATCGTTAATGCAAATGGAATATATGATTAACTTTAGTGCTGGAGATCGGATCGTTTGGTAAACATACCATGACCCCCACCCCCCTCACCCCACCCCCCACTCGATCGTATACCTTGTACATTTTGAACTTGCAATAAGGAAAGTACATGTAGCTGGGTAGCCAAGAAGAGAGTGCCAGCACGTTAAAGGCCATCTCCTCTTCAAAATCAAAGCCACATTAGATCAAATCAAGGTGTCATATGTATGATGCATACTGTGTGATAAAAAACTGTCAGTGCATTTATGCATTCTCAAATGCTTAAAAAATTATACAAATCTTTACCTTTTCGAAATTCAGAGGATATGAAACAATAATAATTAAATTACTCTTCTGAATCTGTGGAATTTTGTAACACTTTGCCAAGATGCATAATTTAGTGTGTTTTATTGTTGAAATAACACATTTATCTTTTCTCTTTCCAGTTGTATTTGAACATAAAAGCCGCCTTGAAAGATCTCTAGAACAAGTGAAAACTGCTCACAAACAAGAAAAAGAAGGTAGGTCGTCAAGATAACTTACAAGTGCCAAATGATGTGCGACTTAACATTAAAGCATAGTAATTACTTTGTTGGCAATGAGTGGTTAATTTTGTCTTTTACAATGTGTATTCTCTTGAAATTGCACAATCTATTCGATACTTATGTGTATTAGATAGGTTATTTACTTCTTTGCCAAAGTAATATATTTTCATTCACCTTTTTACAGAAATTGAAGCCAAAAAATATGAAGCAGACCAGAAGCATGCAAAGGAGCTCCAGGAGCTCCAGAATAAGTTTGATTCCACAAACCAACAACTTAGACTGTTGCAGGTCAGTAAAACTTGGGGTTAACTATTTGAAAGTGAAGGCTGTAAGCCTGGAATGGTTTCATTAGCCATGCATTTTTAATAAAACAAATAAACTTTCATATGTATATTAGATATAGAAAAATTGGGGGTGGGGGGGGGGGCACTTGACAAAACCAGCACACCTGAGGAATGATAGCCTTAAGGGTGTCATAGCCCTCAGAAGAAGTTTGACTGACACCAGATGAAATATTGGCTGGTAAATCTCAGGGAATTTTTGCTATAGCTGTTGACAAGTGAAACTTTTTTTGCTTAAGTTAAGGCGGAAGTTGATTTTAAAGCCTAATGCCCTCTAGAAAAAAGTGTCATTTTCCAATTAACTCTTGGCCTTTACAGATCTGTTCAATTCTGAATTGATTTCAACTATATAGCTAAGTAAACAATTCTGATAAATACGACTGTGTTTAACATAGTTTCATAAGAAATGAAATTCTCGAGGAGATTGCCCAACCACTGTGTTAGCCTTAGGTATAATAACAATGACGTCATATTTGGCAGGGTCAACATGAAGACCTCCAGTCCCAGTACCAGAGACAACAAAGCGAGAGAACCAAGCAGGAGGAAGACCACAAACAGCTCACAGAGCAGCATAATCAGGAGTTCCAACAGCTGAGACAGGAGAAAGATCTGGAAATTGCACAGCTTAAAGGTAACTTCAGTATCAGTTTATTAGGCTGAGATAAGTTGTTGGGTTAATCATGCATGTGCAGTCATAAGCACACACGTACAAACGCATTAGAACATATGCAAACATACACACGCAAACAGCCCTTATACGGATGAGAATGCATTAAATGGTACAAGTAAATATAAATTCTTACTAAACTAAGTTGAAGTAATTTCAAAATTTTTGTGATGAAGAAGTTTCCTAACAAGCAACTGGAAAAGTGTTAAATTGTAAATGCGTAAATAATATCTTATCTCCATGCAAGTTTTATAGGAAGGAGCACAAATGAAATGAGTGAATTAGTACATTATTATTATTTTATGAAATTGACATTCAGTTTTTAAAATTTTTTCAGACCAAATAGCAGACTTGAAGAGAGAAAAAGAGAGAATACAGCTGGCACTATCGGCTGGTAATCAACAGCAGAATAATTTACAGGTAAAACTAAGTCTCAAGCGAATGAAGGAGTGTTTCCATCGGATATGGATTAGCCTTTCTGTGTGTAACCCATCTCAGCAGGCTATCTGATTATGATTTGGTCACCATAGGAGGCCACTCTAATCCCTCTGCTGCCCCAACTAAAATGTCACTATACTGCCCCTGTAATCTCTAATATTAGTCTAATTAAGATAAGCTCACTAATCCCTGTAATTTGAGGTAACTCTCTTGCCTTTGGTAAGGGTATTGCAATTTATAGCCAGCAGAAATGGGTCATACTAAGTAAGGTTAAACTAGTTCCAGTGGAAATGGCCCTTTACCACATCATCACAGTGATGTTGGTTGTGATTGCGTTGTCACAACTAACACAATGACCACACCCATATGCAGTGACCAGGAGCAGTTTATACCACTGTATTGTGTGTTAATTAATTTTGTGTTCGTGCTCACATTCAGTTTACTCCTTTGAGATTGCTGTTTTAATTTTAAACATTTTTTTCTTGGGGGGAGGGGGGGCGCATGTTTGATTCATTCAGTGCTGAGTTGAAAATTGGTTTCTTTGTTGAGTTAATCAGTTGGCTAATCAGTAGGGCTAGTATTTCAAGAAAAAATAGTTTAAAATTCTTTATGTTAATAGACAGAGAAGCAGGAAGTGCCATTTTATTTCAAACTGTAGCATGCAGTTGGTTGTGTGGAATGAGCAACTAGCATTAGTAAAATAGCCCCTAACTGACTTTTTAGATAAGTTTCTTTTGTTTGTACTGTTTTGTTCTGCTTATTTTAACACATTTTATCTACCAATATGTCTTTTACAATTTTCAGCTGTTTACATAAATTAGTCATTAAGTGTGTTAACTTTGTTTTTATGGCTTTATGACTTTTATGTTTTTAACAGACCCAACTGCAGCAAGTGCAGGCAGACAATAACAAGTTGCAGGCACAGGTTTATCAGTTGCAGGTGCTGTGACTTCATCTTTATTTTTTGCCATCATCCTCACGTATTTTCACCATACTAATCAGTTAAAGTTATGGGGATGGTATAATGGCTGGGATCAGTAAAGCATTTAAAATGTTGTTTAAGTTCTGAAGACAGAGGTACAGGTATAGGATGCTGTCATAGGACCTGAGAAGTCCTGTACTAGTCTAATTACAATTCACTTAATTTGAAATTCCCTTGTGATGTTCTGTGGTAATATTTCTTACAAAAAGTTGGTTAAAGGTGATGGACAGAATTCTGCACATTCAAGATAAGCTGGGGTGTAATCTCTCATCCTAGTAAACTATTAGTAAGTGGATCCTTTCCTTTTAAGGTGTCTTTTTTTAATTTTCAAGTAGCAAGATATTTTCAGACTTTTCCTTTTTCAGAACAGAATGATTTGATTATGATTTGAGAGGGTTTCAAACAATAAACAAATATTTCTTTTTCTGTTTGAACTCACATTGAAAAAAATTGGCCATTAGTTCATCAAAACATTTTCACTGTACATTTATTGTTAATGCTCAGTTGTGCAAGTATTGGCAAATTACTCGGAAACACCTGTGCAAAAATGTAAATTGACAAAGGATGATGCAATTCTGATGGTTACAGAATTTTAATGCTGTAGCAATTAGGTTTCCCGATTGCCGAGTTATTTATTGTCTGAATGATTTATGGGGCTTCGTCTCGTTAGTGAGACAGAGCTGGTTGTATTCACACAGATGTTAATTTGAAGTCTATTAATTCTGGAATTATGAAGACTGTTTCCTATGTGATGTCTTTTAAATTTTAATAGATGGACCATGATTTTGCTAGAAATATTGATCACAATCATGAATGGGACAGAATGTGTTTTTCTTATGTGGCACTGTGGTTTTGTTTTCCTTCATTTAACAGTAATTTTCTGCATTCACACTACTTTCTAGTTGCTTTCATTAGTTCATTTGCTTTATGGTGATTTGTTCTTCCTATAGGTGGAGCTTTGGCATATCATTTTATCATTGATGTTGTTTAAATTGCATATACTGTAATTGATTTATGAAATGTATTACTGTGCTATCAGTTTGTATATCAATTATTATGTCTCATCTTATTTGCAATAATTCATGTTGTTTATTGTTTGGAAATTACATTCTTCTATAAATTAAATTATTACATGGAGTATAAATCTTTGTAGATGGTTTAATATATTTATGAAAAATCCCAAAGCCCATCTGTTTATGTTCTGTTTTCACACCTAGCCTGTTCTAACAGTGTTGTTTTCAATGTTGTATGAATGCTCAGACTGAGATACAAACCAAGAATAACCTTACTGTAACCTTACAACGGCAAGTCTCTGAACAGCAGCAGCAATTGCAGCAGCAACAACAGTTACAACAACAACTACAACAACAGTTGCAGCAAACCCAACAGCCACAAGCGGCACAACAACAAGCGGCACAGCAACAGGTCTGGAAATAAAAAAGGGGCCTAGGCCTCTGCAAGTAATCACTTGTTTTGAGGAGTTGTGAACTGTTGTTACTCTATTTGTTTATGTGTTTGCTTTTGTGCACTGAAATAACGATATGCAAGCTGGGCTATCATCGCAATACACTTTGTATTGAAAGTTCAAGATCATAATGGTATACAGCATGTGGTTCTTTGGTCTGCTTATTTCTCTGTTCATTCTTTAATGCACAACCACTGCATTTTGTTGCACCCTTAACCCAACAAGTGTTTTGGCTGCATGTGGCCTATATAACACTTGTCTATTATAATTCTAAGACTTCTATGAGCTGTCTAGCCTTTTACTTATGGTAATAATACTTTGCTCTGCTTTTTCTGTTTCAATATGAAGTCTGCATAAAAGTGACAGCTGTTTGAACTTTTTAATCAGCTCTTGCTTAATTGTCATGTCTCAGACCCCCAGTCATTACTGAACCATTCCTTCCAATATTTTTCTTTACAACCCAGATTTGTGTCTGTAGTTAAAATGTGTTTTTTTCCTTTTCAGCAGCAGCAAGGACAGCAGCAGCAGCAGCAACAACAACAACCAGGCAATGTCCAGCAAGGTATCAATTCATTTCAACTGAATACTAACCAGCAACAACAGCAGCAGCAACTTGGCTTAAATCAGCAACAGCAACCCGCTAACTTGAACCTGCAACAACAATTTAACCAACAGCAACAAGGTTTTAACCAACAACAAGGTTTAAATCAACAACAAGGTTTGAACCAACAACAACAGCAAGTGCCAGTTTTTAACCCAAATCCTATTTTTAATCCACAGCAACCAGGTAAACAGATTCATTTCCCTCCTCTTTTTATTCTGCTTTTGTTTTATGACTGTTTTTGTGAAGTATAATTGACTTTGGTATGGAAGTACTAACATTTAAATTGGTGGTAGTTGTTGATAAAAATAAAATTCAGTTTGCTTTTATTTTCTTTTTTTAAAGATGTCTGTTATCAACCAGCCCAAAACTTTATGACTCTGTTTGACTCTGTCTGTATATTTGCCCTTTAATTTTGCAATCCATATGTAGGTTGAGGTTTTTACAGTACATAAGTTCCATTTTTAACCCTAACATAGAAATCGTTGTTTTAAAAATGGTTCCACCATTATCTTGTTTCTGTCATTGACCGTTAAATACTGTCTTAAACCCTCCTATTCAGTAACACTGTAATCTGTGTTACCACACAAAAAACACTTCATAGCAAATAGTTGCATCTCTTGATATGTGCTGCCATCTTTTGCTTTCGTAGGAATCAATCAGCAGCCAGGTCAGGCTGCCCAACAACAGCAACAGCAGGGGGCGCTTCAGTTTGATAGCAACCAAGCTAATGCCTTCTTCAATCAGCAAAGACTTGGAGGAATGGGTGCTGCCATGAGTCAAATCACAAAGCCAGCCCAGCAAGTTCAAGGTCTGGGACAAGGTCAAGGTCTTGGGCAAGGTCAAGGCCAGATGAGCTTTAATATGGGACAGATGGGTATGTTTGATTTAGGGCTTTTAATATGATTATCATGATTACTAGCAAGATGTAGCCTCAGTTTTGTTTGCTTAGACAGTGCAATTTTTCTGTCCATTCTAGATTGATTGGTAGTTGGTAGTTTGAACCTATTGAATCAAACTGAATGAATTCTTTCATTCTGATAAATATAAAATGTAAAAGAAAAACAAAACTCAGATTGGCTAGTTGGCAATTCATAGTTTAGAACTTTTCCTGAAATATCAGGTGAATTTCATGATAAACCAAATCAGTTGAATTTCATGATAGACCAAGAAAGAATGTAGTATAATATTAAAGACCATGGCTTGATTTTTAATTCAAAGTACTGTGAATGTTTTCATTTATGTTCAGGCGTAGAAAAGAATCCAGTTGAGGTCAGAGAGCAGGTGCTTCCTCCAAAGTGGAAACAAGAAAAAGACCTGGAGGTAGGTGCCATGGTAGGTTCTGTCTGAACCTAGTTTTTCATGACCAAAGAGCTTTGAACAAGTGACTATGTGTGTGTTTTTTGGCACAACTCACTAACAAATTGGCAAACTGCTATTCACTGTTTTTAATTTTCTTGGACCAAAGTGTATTATTTTACTTAAAAATTGAAAATTTTGAATTATGATTTGTTTGTATGGATACAGGAAATATTTAAGATAATAGGTATGATGTACAATTTGCCAAAATATTGGGTGAGATGATCAAAAGAAGATGTTACATTTTACATTTCAAATGGAAACATGTAGTGGACTGGTAGTTTAATATGATATTGTATTCAGTGTGTAATTTGGCACAATATTTGTTGAGCACGTCTGTTGTGTAGTGTAGGTTGCTAACTGGTATTCTTTTTCATGAAAAATGCAACAAATATGAGAGAGAGAGGGTGAAGAAAGAGGAGTTTTTTTTGTATACATCACAAAGCAGGGGTATTAAATGTGACTTAAGTCAGTTTATACAAGCATACCTAGGAGAAATGACTAAGTTGTACTTGATTATACCATTGTTCCTTTTAAAAAACCTACAGGAAGAAAGAAGGTTGTAAGTTATATTGGAAATTTAGGTGTGGTTTGTCAATGTTTTATCCTCCACATGATTTTTTTTGTGGGAATTTATATGTCAGACCCCTGATATTGGTTGGTTTACAGAATTTGTCAATATGGTGGGAAGTCGTGAATGGGTTCTGTGAGTGGGGGCCATGTTTGGCTATATGCGTGTAAACTGTGGGTGTGGGAATCAGTTTATGACGAAAATCAAAGTATTGCAAGTTATTAGAGATGAAAGTCTTTGGGATTTTCCAGAAATGTGAGTATTTGGTTGTTGTATTTATTCCTCCTGCCCCCCCTCCCCCCCATATAGAGGATTTTCAGGATGTTTTAAGGTCCACCTTCATTTCTGATACTGTGTGCACCATACAATGTAGCAAGACACAAACCATGTTGTTTTCTGTGTAATTATCAGTCTCCACAAATCTAAAATGAATTTATAATATCAAATTAACACATTTTAAATCTCTTAATTCTTTACTTCTTTATTAAACTTTATTTTTTTCTTTAGTTTTAATTTTGGGGTTTTTGTTTTCTTTCCTTTCTCTCTAAGGCTTTAAAAGCTCTTAAGACTCAGAAACCTCCAAAGCACCTTCTGCAGACTCTTAAGGCAAAAATGTCCCTTGGGAACAAAAAGCCTGCTAGAGCTTTAGTTGTGGGTCACTGATATAGACCCAGGTTTCAATATGTAGAAGAGGTATGTATACTTAAAGACACATGAACTTATATTGCATGGACTCCAGGGAGGTATATGGGCAGAGGTTTCACCCTTGAATATCGGTAATTGTTATCTTAAAACCATAGTGATTACCGTATTTCACCCATATTAAGAATAACTAACAAAAAGAAAAAAATGAAAGTGACATTCATGGCCACCTTGAGTGAGAAATAACCCCAAAGAATAATAGCATGAGGATATTCGGTTTGAATGAAGCAGAGGTAAAAATTGTATTGCCTACCAAGACATACTGTTTTTTGACAAAGGTCTTACATGTATATTAAAACAGTCAAGGTTAAGGCAGCAAACGTGAATGACAATTGTGCAATGCTGAGTTATAAAGCCAGAATGGCCACCAAAACAAAAATGGCTGCCTTCACAAGGGAAAGCATGAGATGTAACTGCCTATAAGTGAGCTATGGAGTAGAAAGACAAGGGCAAGAATTGCATGGAGGTGGTGAGGTGGTGCTGGAATTATTATTTGGTGCTGGGGGCATGGAAGAAGGTAACACGTTTCAATTTATATTGGAGGAAAAAAATCTTTTATATTTTAGATTTTTATGGTATTATTTGGTTGTCGTTAACATGGAGTGAACATGGTGCAAACCATTACTGGTTGTAGAAGAGATGGAGTGGGACAGTCGCAGACTTTTTATTGGTTTTTGTATTTTACAGTGATGTCACCTTTTTACCTAATTTATACAACAGTTGTGATAAGATGTAAAATCATGATTTTTTTTTATTAATGGGTGGCTTACAGAATAATTATATATCATCCTCTGCATTTAGGATGACACATGACTGAATCAGTACAATAAGTTTGTCTTTAAAAGAATACTTATCAGTTGCATTTGTGACTTTGGGAAGATGAATATGATGACTTTACATAGGTGCATGTTAACTTATTGTTCCTCTCTGCCCACCTCAGAAACATGGACTTAGAAGAGGAGCCACCAACAACACCAGCACCCCTTACGAGCCCCCCATCAGTAGCCCCAACACAGTTAGCTCCATTCATGGGGCCATCATTAGTGGTAACAGTATACGAAGGGGACAACAAGATGTCAACAACAACAACAACCACGCCAACAACATTAATACCACCAGAAGAGGAGGAAGTTTTGGACAACAATCTTTTCGTGGACGAAATGGAGGAGAGGCTTCCATTTCAAGAATTGCAACCACCTCTCTTGGAGATGGAGGACACAGTTTTGGATCCAGAGGAGGAGGGAGAGGAGGAGGGGGAGGGGGAAGAACAAATGGATCAAGAGATATTATAGACTTAGGGGATGATCTGAAGGAAAAGGCATTAGTTAGACTCGGACTTTTATCCTCTGAGGTGGCCATGCAGCAGAGACTTTCTGAAAGTACGGAAAAAATGAAGAGAGACATTTATGGGTGATACTAGTCATAAACATTTAAAAAATGATTTTCATTTTATTCAACTCTTTCAAGTTTTACTGACTTGGCATTTTTCCCTTTTAATTGGCAATAGAAGGTGTTACATTTGGGGATAGAATATGTAAGTATATATCATGTTTTTAGACATTTGCTATAGTAACCAGAGATAGTTGATGTTATGAATATCCTTGTCTTTATAATGTGGTAAAGGGAAATACAAGTGACTATATTTTAACTTGAAATTTATTATATGTATCATAATTATAGTTCATTTATATTAATTTGAACATGTGTATTGTTAAGATTTATCTAATATTTCTAAGTTGTAGATAAAATGTTAGATTTTATTTTTATAATTGTTGTAAAATGTGGGGTTCATTTATTGTTTTGTTAGAGTCAACACAAGCCCTGTTTTTTAAAATTAAATTAATTTATTTATATGCTTGTTTTGATTATGGTAGCAATCTAAAGAAAATTATTTAAAACCTCATTTTGTATTTGAAATTTTAATTTCAAGTGACCAGGGTCTTTGAGTATTGTATCTTAATTTAAAAAAAATTAAATTATGCAATCAATGGTGCAATATCTGTGGTGCAGAGTATAACATATATCCTCTACCAGGACCGCAGATTAATTATGTGCACTTTACCAGGACCGCAGATTAATTATGTGCACTTTACCAGGACCGCAGATTAATTATGTGCACTTTACCAGGACCGTAGATTAATTATGTGCAATTTACCAGGACCGTAGATTAATTATGTGCACTTTACCAGGACCGCAGATTAATTATGTGCAATTTACCAGGACTGCAGATTAATTATGTGCAATTTACCAGGACCGCAGATTAATTATGTGCAATTTACCAGGTCCGCAGATTAATTATGTGCACTTTACCAGGACCGCAGATTAATTATGTGCACTTTTCTCTAACTTTTCTCTAAGTCATGCAAAAAGGTGACATCAATTAATCAGAGAATCTATGAATATCTAGTGAAATATCAATCTGTAGACCTGGTAAGAGGGTAATAATAATATACTGTGGATTTTCAGAAAAAAAACAATGTATCGACTATTGTATATTTTTTCTCCTGTATTACAAGCTTTAAAGACCATGTAATACATTTTTATGTATGAAATCAATGCAAGTTGTAACCCATTTTCTTTGTATTATAAAAGACAAAAATAATCATGTTATGTCAGTATCAGTGGTTTTAGGATATTGGTTTAAAATTGAATTTTTAAAGATGTATTGTTGTCAGTATTTGTAAGTATTATAGAACAATTTCAGTAAATAAAATTCCCTGAAAAGCAGACATATTTTATGACATGAATAGCAAGTAACTGAAAAAATACTATTGTCTTATTCTAAATATAACATATTGTCATGAAGTTTTCAGAAGATATACATATTAATGGTAAGTTTTAAAATATCACTATTTCAATGTGGGCATTTGTCTTTAAGATTAGTGCATGCCAAACAAGGTGATGTTTGTAGAACAATTTAAATAATTGGTTATTCTTGGGGCATTAAACTAAGTCTTTCAGATACTGTTTACTGGTGATGGTCGCATGAACAGGTCATCAACACAGTAACTTTAGAGGTACAGAAGGTATAAAATTAAAAGGCCAGTAGGGGTGGAAAAACTTGTTCAAAAAATGAGTATTAACACATGATCATGATAACACTAGAAGAATACCTGAACCAAAGACAGTTATCAATGGTTAACAATGTGTAGAATCAGAAAGAATAAATTTCAGCTGTTTCTGTGGGGTCTTATACAAGAAGTATTCATTAGCATGTCAAGGTCATATGAGAGTGCGAAGGTCAAGGTCATATGAGATTAAGCAGGTCAAGGTTGCATGAGGGTTAAATATGCCGTGAGGTCAGTTAGGAGGTTGTGGCTCTTAGGAATGACATTTTGGTGAAGGTTGTATGATGATTTCCAATTCAGTGGCGTGAAAGTTGGAATGAATGTTCAAGTGTTTTGTCGTTTAACAGTTCTGACGCCCACATATACATTGCAACTATGCACACACTTAACATTTAATCTAGAATTGTTTAATCTCATACTGAAGTGTCTCTTTTTACTTTGTGGTAAGATCATCATGGCTTTTATGTAACATTACTGATGTAATTCCAACATTTTTTAATATTTTTTAGCCGAAGGTTCGCAAACCCAAGTCCAGCTCACCAGGGTAAGGTTTAATTCATGTGAAGATGTAGGAAATCTTTGGATGTGTATTTCTTAATATTGGCTATCCCAGGTTTTTGAATTGAGAATAATTTAAGATTATTGTCTCTGATTAACTGCATTTCTTTCACAGGCCTGCTGTCTTTGTAATATTATTGTATCATTCAAATATATTAGATATAGTGTTTGATGTCAAGTGGATCCAGTTGAAAATTTTTATATAATGTAATCATTCCCTTCAATTTTATGCAAAAGAGAATATATTACATATTTTAACCACCAAGGATTGAATTTTAAAAATTAATATTTCAGGCAAGATAAAGAAGAGGAACCACATAAGCCAGTGTTAAAAGGTACAGACCAATGTCATACACATAGAGACTGTTTTGTGAAAAAATGAAAATAATCATCATCGTCTTAATTTAAGCACATTTACCTCAAGATGAGAATAGAAAAAAATCTAAGATTATTTCTTACATCTTTCACCTCTTTGCTGAATTAAACTTGAGTCAGTGATAATTGTCAGAAATATTAGAGAGCATATTTTGCATTTTCATTCAAACACAAAATTTAAGAACCATTAGCATTTTGCTTGAGAATTGCAAGATGTGCTTATCAGCTCACAAAAGTCAAAAATAAAATTAAGACTAACAGGTAATTAATGAGAGGTCACACTTTTATCCCCTCTAGCTCCTGGCCAGATACCTCCAAGAAAGCCAGCAGGTGAAGACCATGACATTCCACATGTAGGTATTACTGTCACGTCATGACATCCCACATGTATTAAAATGGAAGTGGTTGATCTATGATGATATCTTTAGAGACTTGCATGAATTCCAACAATTTGCTGTGATCTCAACCAAAAAAGCATGGTACCATTTTAAATCATTATTTATTTATTTATTTATTTAATTATTTATTTATTTATTTATTTGTTATTTGTCACTCAGAAGCAAGATAGTGATAATCAAGATAAGCCAAAGGAGACACAAGGGCAAGCAGGACAGGGAGTGGACTTTCCTGGACAAGTGGCTCCACCAGGTGGTGGGCACCAAGACAAAACTAAAGAATCTAACCAAGGCAATGAGGAGAATATATTAGCAGCACCAGCAGACCAAGGAGATAATGAAATAGACAGTGATCTCTCATTAAAACACCAGGATAAAATTGGTCGGGAGCCACTTCCCAAACCTGTGCTTCCAGTACCAAATGAAGATAGTCAACTTAAAAATCTGAATGAGGAAGCCAAAAATGAGGCCAAAAAAGAGGGCCCCGTGCACCAGATACTGGAGCCCCCACAGCGCCCTTATGTTGATTCCCCCAAAGAGGCCCCTGCTGGTCAGATGGATGTTCCTGGGGGACATGAGGGAGAGGATGGGGAGAAAAATGATAAAAAGGTAATTTAGACTTATTGTGAAAGTTTTTCCAGTTTCACATATACAATGATTGGTTGTTAAAGAGGTTTTTTGGATTTTGCTGAGGGTGATTTTGTTGTGACAATGCCATGAGTTTGCACTGTAAGCATGGAGTTCATGACACTTCAGACAATCAACAGAGACTACTGGAGACAATCTGGAACTGCCAGTAACATCCTGTGTTTTAGAGGCCACTGGAAACTACACTTAGCTGCAGGTCAAATGATGATTTGTGACAAGAAGAAAATAACTTTTTTTTCTGATGAAGATAATTTAATTTGGCATCTTGTAAAGAATGCTTTAAATATTTCACTTTTTTTTTTTCATTCAGGACGTCCTCCATAATGTGCCACCAGACCAGTTTGTAGACCTGCATGATCAGCAGGACCAGGGCCATGACATTGATGGACAGAAAAATGTGGAACATCACGGTGAGTAGCAGAGTTTAGCCTCTCAGTGGATAGAAACCATTTAACTATGTCTTTAAAAGCTAAATATGAGGAGAAATTGATATTACTCCCAGGCTTAAGTTTTTAGCTGAAAGCCTGACCTAAGACAATATCTTAAAAGCTAAAAGTGAAAGACAATTGGCATCACTCTCAGGCCACAAAGTGCCCCCACCACCACCAGCCCACCTCCAATTGTTAGACCACCAAGCCATTTGTTCCTGCTTGTTTTCTCACAACCAAAAAACCCAAAACCATGTCTTGATTGCCATATCTCTGTGCTGCTGTTTCAGACCATGAAGATGTGGACCCAGACCAACGAGACTACCCTGACAAACTTGGGAATGAGGACGGCGGGAAGGAAGATGACGATAATTAGGTGCTGCTCAACTTTTAAAAAGTAGACAAAGTCAAACTATGTTTGTTTTCTATTTCATGATAACATTGCAAAATGTTATTTTCATTGTTGTTTTTCTGATAGAATGGTAATTAGAAAGAAAGTGGGAGATATCCAGGCAAGAATGGTTCAAAGTACAATTTATTTTATTATTTCTTTATTTTTTGGAAAGGTGGCATATTAGCTTAAAATTGCCCATCCAAAATTTATTGAGATCCTGTGCAACAGAAAGAGATGTATAATTTTGGAATATTTGCAAACTTTTCATGTTAAAAACATGCATATATACAAAGTATTCACCTGTCTGTATGCAGCAAATTTAGAACTCTGAAATTATTGAACAATTTTTACGAGGTAAGGTGCGAACAGTTTTCCATAAAAACACCAAAGTTGTTTTGAGACAAGTCCCCAGGCAATAGCTTTAAGATGATACTGTACGATGATGCTCTTAATTCATTTCTTGGAAGACAAATTATCACCTTTGTTAAGGTCTGCAAAATGCTGGTAGACTATTTCTGTCCTCTTAAAGGCTATTGACAGGGCCACTCCATGGGAATTTCCTTCAAAATAAATTTTGTGGATTAGGGAGTAATTTTTCCTACTCTCAAATTATTGCTTGACCTGTTCCTGTACTTTGAATCAATACTTTCCTCCATTTTTAATTTAAAATTGATGTATGTAATGATTGGCCAGTCAAAGTAACGACATCTGTCTTCACCTGCATTGCCTCGTTTTCACACAAGAAAATGGCGGTGTGTTTTGTATCGTGGTCCTGTGCTGGGTACCATGCATGCCAAAGGAGGCTGCAAAGATGATAAAGATGCAAGGAACCTCTCAGATAAACAGATAAACTTTTATATAGAGAGTTTAATTGGCTTGAGAGTCTGCATTGGGAAATATAAGAAGCTTTACAGGCCATAAATTTGACTTTTTTTTTTTCTTACAAATATGTGGAGAGAACTTCTAGAAATTCATTTTGGTGGGAAAAATCTCATGGAGGGGCCCTTTAAATTAACAGTCCAGTATAAATGTTACACTGATAATGACAGAGAAGAACTCATCTTGGGTTCTAAATCATGTGGTGGGCTGATATGCAATTCATGCATCAGCACCCTGGGTTTCAAAGACTTCAACTACTCTATAATCAACACACTGGTTATAGGCTATGAAATGTTGTGTGTGTCTACTGAGTATTAAAAAAGTCTGAAACTCGGGGTGTTTGGTTATTTGAAAACTTTTCTCATTGTAAAATGTTGTCAGTTACCTGTTATTTTGAAGTGTTATACTGTTTGTATATTTTAAGTGTTTATCCAAAGGTCATTGTCTTTGCCCAGCAAACTTTTGTCAATACTGTTATTTTTTTTTTATTTATTCAAAATAAGTATCTGTCAGTTATTCAATGATGACAATACACGTGAATTTAAGTGTGTAATTACTTGACAGTGTTTTTTTCATTTGGAGAAAATCATGAATTTTACAGATACTGTATTTTAAAATAATTTTTATTTAAATTAGAACATTGTTATTGAGTGGTGAAACAACATTAAAAAGCAGGCTACTCTATAGTTCTATTCTATGCAGTACAAGCACCATATATGGAAATATAATTTTTGTGATTACGAAAATTATGTTTCCGAAAGTTTGATGATATTTGCCAATTTAAGATATCGAATAATTACTGTATTTATTTTTTTATTTTTTTCTTTTGCGAAACTCCTGGGATTTTGTCAGCCTATTTCACTATACTAGTACGTTAACTTTATCAGACAGTTTAATAAGCTTTTCCTCACGTCCCCGTCTTGCCTCTGACATATTTTACTCGTGGATGGTGAAAATCATGGATGAGCCAAGAAGTAAACATGGCTTCCCATCTCACTCATGGTGTAATTGTTTATCATATCTTTTTTCCCAACTGCATTTTTTCATTTGTTTGTATTCCACCTCTTCATTAGTAAAAGAAATGCTGTGTTGATGAATTACGCCAAACTGAAAGAGTGAAGGCTTTAAAGATACTGCCAGGAAAGCATTTTTTCTGAGTTACGTATTTCTAATTAGGGAAGTAATGATAGCCGTAATAATTTTTTGAAATCATTACATTTTGGCCTTTATAATAAATGTTTTAATGTGTTATTTATTTATTTATTCATTTATTTGAATGACTACTTAAGTTTTGATTAATTTGTTAACTTTTTATTGTTGTTGTTAATTTCTTAATCAACATCTTGCTACCAAAGTTCGTCTCTCTTTTATATATAATGTTTATGCCTAGGAAGTGTACATATAGATGTATATACAATTTAAGGTGTACATTAAACATGTACATAGAAAAAGATAAAAGTGGTGATTTTTAATATCTCTACAAACAATTCAATGAGCTGATGGTCTTCATGGATTATTCCATGTATTTTGCAATTGTCATATATTTTGCATTAAACCTTAGCTGGGTTCGGGGGCGCGGGGAATGTATAATAATGTGGTGAATATAATGCATGTTTCCTGCTGTATTCATTGTGTTATTAATTAAAGTGTGAGCGAAAAATAAGATTATTCTAGAATTTGTGAAAACTTCCGTAAAAGTTTTTATAGTAATTGCATTAGGTTGAGAAAAATCACGTTAGTGAAATTAGAAAAGGTACGCTCAGTGAAAGACCAATTTGAAACGTTAAGCATACTTTATTGATAAGTAGGATAAAAACAATTGTTAGAATTGATAAATAGGCCCACGGCCAGTTTGTAGTTTCTAGCAAGTCTAAGAATAACTTTGTTTTATTTGTAGAAATTTAAAGTATTTTTTCAAAAAAAATGGTATCTATTTTTCTTACTTAATGTCATTCTGTAATATGCTATCCCATAATGCCACGCGGCAACGATGTGACACAATGACTATGGATTGCTTTAGAATGCAGCCTTTACTTAGAAATGCTTTGAATAATTATGAGAACCCGTTATGTTTCGAGTCAGTATGATGCTGCTGTTTTTACTACCTTATATTTGCAGTTTCTGGAAAATATGCATGGTTTTAATTCCAAAAACTGCCGCTTTCATCGTTGGAATATGGTGGTATTAAGGTAATTGTTACAAATTAAACTGGTGATTGTTTGTATATGTATGTGTTTGTTATACATATTGTTCACAAAAACATATTGACATCTGGTGGGTTAATGAAACGCATTTTTAATAAACTTAAACTAAAAAATGGCGTATTGGTTTTGTTTGCTCGGGGATCGGTTTCTTGAATCGATACAATATTTTGTTAATTCAAAACTAACGCGTGTAGTTCAATTATCCGAGGAAACCTGTGAGAAGTACGCTTTTGGTTGCTTCCTGTAACGTGCCTCGATTGGCCCTTTTCTTCTGATTTTATTTTAATCATTTAATCAGAGCGGCGTATAGCGTGTGCAAAAGTTAATCTAAATTTATCTGGTTCATGACACTAGGGAAATCGTCTGAGTGGGTCGCTATGATGACCTAGCCTCCAGTCACGCCATATAAACTGTGTGACAGAAATGGAAGTCCGCTAGGAACCGTAGTCCGCTTCCCATTACTTTGTACAGGTGACATTCGTCCCATATAGTAACCCCAATACTCCAACTAACCTTAACTTGTACTTATCATATAGGAGCCCGAACTTCCACTTCTAGGCCTACCATTCCTACCACACCTGCCGTGGTGTCCAGAAAGAAAACCTGGGCATCTTGACCTGGCCATGACCCCATCACCCCCTGCCTCTGGATTAACCCACTTAAAAAGGGACGCACTGATAACTTTCATTTTACAATTTTTGACATGTCACACAAACCAAGCGGTCTTCAGAAAAAGTTGGCGCTGTCCTCAGGTGTGATAACACGTGCGCTGGTTCACGGGACCCCGTATCATCCCCATATGGGATAATCCAGTGTTCACTCAAGGCATACTCCAGTACTGGTAGAGAGACTTGGCTGACGCTATTTCCTTATATGCAGCGACCTGACTCAAAAGGACGGTTTTGTATTTTTTTTCTGTGAGTGTGACAAGCATTCTGTATGACGTTGTGTATGTTACTTTGATTTTCACATCCAAGGCGAGGCATCTTCCAGGCAAACGGTTTGCTAGGTATTTCAGGCGACCTCAGAACCTTTTGCGTTGAACATTATTATTGAACAACCTGTGCTACACGAGGTATTGTGTTCCTTGTATTCATGGTTACACAAAACGGATCAAAGACCAGAGAGCAACGTAATTTCAAAGTGTTCATATATCTACAAGCAGGATTTAAAAGGGTATAAATACAAACAAGACATTCACTAAAGATGAAAACGGCGTCCTGGGCACTTGTAGCAAGCCTTCTCCTGTTCAGCCAGTTTCTGGGCTTGGCGGAGACAGGAGGGTTTGGAAACTCCGATCTTTCTCAACTTGCCAGACTGACACAGAACTTATTAATAACGTTATGGTCCAACGGCACCGCGACGGCCTTGGATAGATTCATTGACAACAACTTTCCCGCCATTGTCGAGTTTTTGAACACGACTGGATTGCCGTTAATGAGAACGGCGTCTGAGATGGTCATCAACACGCTGCAGTATGTGAAAGCCTACGAATTGCCAAAGAACGCCACGGTTATGAAGGAGAACCTTAAGGGAGTGTTTAACTTGGTGAATTTTGATGATTTTGTCGGCATCTTGATCCAGGGAGCGCAGAGTGGTTTGCTGGGGAGGCCCGCCAATGTGTCCTCTGAGTGCTATGAAGACGCTTTCCTGTTCTTACAAGGTCTTCAGCGAGGAGAGCCGTGGGCTCTGAAGCGTGAGTGCATTCTGTACATCTACATTTATTTTTACGGCTAAGATGGGTGGCCAAAAGAGCTCCCTCTAAGTGTCAACTAAAACATATTCACGTTCTTTAAAATAGTGGTACATGTACCTGGTAGGTGGTCTGAGGAACCCTCTACCACGGCCAAAGAGAAGTTGTTTTACGAGATATTTACTGTTATTTCTCTGGTTCAATTTGTTTTCATAATAGCATACTATACGGTCCAGCGAGAAATCCCTCTCCCCTCCCCCCCCCCCCCCCAAATAAAAAACAAACAAACAAAAAACAATAATAATGATGATAATGATAGTAAGAGAGCACACCTGTTCACGTCACCTAAATACTGACTTTCACCTTGGGGCTTATCTTTGTTTTGAAGATTCTAGATATGGGTTATCTTTTATCTTCAACGCACTCGCAATGCATCCAATCTCGTGTGCTTCTCGCCATCTGTGCAAACACGTGTAAAAGTAACCTCATTGTAAAGAAAGATTGCAGCTAAAGGTAAAAGTCATGACATTAGTACAGGCGCTGTGCTTGTAACACCCTGACGATGGAGGTTAGTTCCCAGAAATCTCAGAATCTAAGGGTGATTGGCGGCCGACGCAACACGCATTATCACTTTTTTTACTGGAATATAAGGTGTAGTGAATTTGAGTTTTTTCATAACCCTTCTAACAATCACCCGAAACCTTTGCTGTTTCCCCAACAAAAACTAATGCTATTTTCCCCGTCCATTTCATAACCCTTCAAATTACTGCAATATTTAATCTGTCAAGACTTGAGTATAGGAATCTTAGCATTTCTCCCCATCTTCATGCATCTATGCGTTGGTAAGGAGATCTTAAATAAGTTGGCATTTTATCCACCGTTCTAGTGCTGGACGCCATGGGCAAGCCGGAGACTGGGATCTACCAAGGCAATCTGATGTGGATGGGGTTCTATGACGAGTGTGTGGGGACAACTGCAAGGACCACGATGTAAGTAAGTTTAAAAGCATTAAAACCTACGATTAGCGTTCATGCATCAACTTTTAATTAGATTCTGTCAGTAAAGTTGTTAAAACTATTGATAGATAAAGATTTACATGTAACCCAATTGACGATTTTGAGTCTCCCTCTCAGCGACTTCCGCCGGTCTAATGACAATTTGATATGTAAAATACGACTGGAAGACTTACCTACATACCTTTTTTGTCTCTAAATAGTATAAAGCATTGGTTTACACCACTGCAAATATCTGAAAGGATGAGATTCTAAAAAATTTAAATTGAACATCACGCGCTGCACTCTTAATGACTAAAGATGAAAGGCCAAAATAATACGTTACTTAACCTTTTACTATAACTACTTCTGCTACTACTACTACTACTAATAACAATAATAATGACAATAATTAAAATTTGTAAAAAATGTGGAAATTTTAACAGTTCCATAAGGTAACATAAACACGTTATCAAAATACGCTTAATATCCTTCCTTGCCATTATATGTGTACTTTACATTTCCCGTGGCTCTGTTCCGTGCAGCTCCGTGACTCCTGGCTTATCTGTTGACCACGAGTTCCAGGGGAAATACTGTCTGGTAAAGATACCATTCCCAGATGGAGTTCTCAATGCGCCGCAGGTAATATTAGACCCACATTCGCCACCAAAGATGATCCGCGAACTAACAAATATGGCCGATCCACTTGAAAGCTTGCCCCCTAATCCCCACTGGGAATCTATTCAGTGTCTTTTAGGGGATTTTGCGGCAAGCTTTTAAGTGGGACGGCCATATTTGATCCACAAATCTGTTAGTCCGCGGAACAACGGTTTGTGAAAGCGGCCTATAAAATTGTTGCCTTAAAAATTTACCCTTTGTTCCATTATCCGTCCGGCCTTTTGTTTGCACCGCTGATTGTGCTTTAAGTGACGACCCTTAGGCAGCGCTGGACTACGAGAATTTAAATAACTCAGCATTGTCAGAGTATTCATTTAAATTATGAAATCGATAGCCGAGAAATAATGTATATCTATTGTAGAAGTACAGTTTAAGCTATGGTGAACACTAGACGGCCAAACAGCAAGCGTAACTTTTCGGTATATTGTAGGGAGCAAGTATCCAGGTAGCTATGTGTGTTTCTGAACGGTGTTCTTCCAGAGATTTAACAGGTAGGAAATAGACAAATAAAAAATATGTAGGCCCCTCTTAGAACAACCTGGGTTTTCACCTCTGGTTGTCAGGAGCTGTTGTTGGCATTCGTTAGTATGCCTTAGAATTCTTTAATTAATTTTTAATATTCAAGGAATTATCGTTCAATCAATCTGTTCAGTTTTGCAACTACTTGTTTATTTTATTGTTCATTCCTTGCTCTCTTTCCTTTTCCTTCTTCCACCCTAATTCTTCCTTTTCCTATTCATCAAGATATTCTTATTTTCTACACTATTTTCTCTCTCCATTTTTTCCAACATGCATCAGTCCCTCCTTTATTTCATTTTTTCTTATAATACACCCCTCCCTTCAATCAACCGTATTAACGTAGGTTTCTTACATTTCTTAACCGTCACATTCCAGCTGCTTTTCGCTCCATTGGCGCCAGGGATGCCGTACAGATAGTGTGCAAGGGAGACAGACGTCTTGACTTCAGAACCGACGCTGGCGCCATCTGTGCAAGGTACATTTGCACTGTTTCCCAGCAAATGTGATACTTATGCCCATATAAACAGCGGGGTATATATATATATATATATATATATATATATATATATATATATATATATATATATATGAAATCAAGCTATTAATATGTTAGAAGTGAGCAAAACTGTTCAACTATTACATGTTAGAAGTTTTTGATAAACCAATGCAATACTGGTATATCTGAATTAGTTCATCGAGTTTTAAAATATTTTTCTTTAACAGAGATTTATTGGTGTCCAAAAATTATTCATCTTCTTATTTCTGCATAATTATTTGTGTTTTAAGGTTACCAGTCATGTCATTTAGAGATGCATGTGTTATACAACAAAGATGTTGGGAGATAATGATACCGGGTAAAGCACAACATTTTAACTGCTTAGACTGCTATTATGTCATAAATGGACTTTTGTCCCTTTGTAGCATTCTTGGGTGTGTGTTCGTTTTGGTGGTCATTTTGGGGACTGTCTATGACGTTCTGGACTCTCGTTATTTCTCAACGAGCACAAAGACTTCCCGCGCTTCCAAAACTAATCCATCAAAGAAAAATAATGTTACGTTGACTGTGAGTATCATATACAAAGTCAAAGCAGATTTTACATATTACGAATGGCACAGATTCAGATTTTCGCTATTAGACCATTCTTCTTAATTATGACATCATGTAATGCACAAAACGGTCTAGTTCAAAAAGTATATTTTCTCAGGGTCGAATGATTTACTAGAATCTCTAAATCGTTAAAATGACAAGATTTGTCGTTACAGCGTTCGATGTGTGATGAGTGCAAGAAGACAAACAGCTGTCAGTGGTGTGATGTTTGCTGTGCTAGCATGTGCCACCATAACAAAGTCGAGTTAGATGGCGGTGATGAAATACAGCATAGAGACAATGACGGTAAACGCTTCATTATCATGTATTTACCGTGTATGTAAAACACATGGACTGGTTTATAAATGAGGACCAAATTAATTCCAAAATACAAGCACATAAAATCGTTTTTTAAAACAATTAAATAACTAAAATTATAAGTGAGGAGAAGTCCTTGTTACCTTTTTTACTATACACGTTGCTGTTTTAGATTTTGAAGGGGCTTTAGAAAACAGATGGTTGTAAATGTACGTTATCTGTGTAGTTTAACTGCTTACTATTCTCTGCCTGTTGCCCATCTTGAAGCATAGGCCACCTATAAGATCCTTCCTTCCACCCCTGATCTTGTCTCTACTTGGTTCCATGTTTTGTACTCAGATGTATCATTTCAATCGTGAGTTGATGAAACATACTATGTAATAACATTTATCCTGTCACTATGGACAATATAACGATTACAGGTTCAGTGACATCTTTTGGACTTGAAACTTATAAGAATGGACGACGCACAGATGAAGACCAGTTGCTGCCAAAGAAAAGAGGTAATATAAAATAAGGGTGCTTAAAATCAAAGTGTAGCTGGAATGCATTTCAGCAACCTTTTCAGTGTTATACTGGGACATTTTTTTTTTTTTTTTTTGCATAGCGAACGAAACGTGCAGAATATCTACATATTTAATTTGCCACAATAAATAAATAAAACAGAGTACGCACAAATTACACCCAAAAGTCATAACATGATGGACATAAGTTCATGTGGAAACACCCCTGACGAAAACGATCCAAGCCTGCAAAGTATGTCTAAATATTTATAAATAAACACTCCAATAATTTTTATACGACAAGTTAAAGATAAATTCAAATCTATAAATTATCAAATATGTAATATATGTTCGTGATATGTAATATGCTTATCAGAATTTTTAATACAAACACTTATTTCTTCCTTAAACAGGAAAGTGTCTCCTGATCCTGCGAGCGTTCTCACTGTACAGTAACGTACAAAAGATAATGGACACGGATTCTCCAGCGGGCACGTTACACTGTGTGAACGCTATCCGCGTGTTGAGTATTACATGGGTGATACTGGGGCACACTTACTTCACCATGACGGCCTTCGGGGTGATGTTCTGTAAGGGTGGTCAATAAACTGACCTTTGGCTATTCTTCTTTAGATCTTATTTATTTACTATATATTTTTTTAATTAATTGATGGTAAATTTTCGTATGCGTATCACCTTACTGTAATAACGGTATAGAACTTTTTTCTCTTTTAATGTCTTATTGCCCCCCCCCATTTCCAATCGCATTCTCCCCTTTGCTTCCTTTTTATCCCAGGCTAATTTTTTCTTTCCTTTTTTAACTCCGTTCATAGACAACGAAATCAATATTACCAGTCGTGTTGTACTTGTAGGACAAAACAATTGTTGGCGACGTCTAGTCTACTCCAACTGAGATATGTCGTTACCTCATTAGAAAATCATGACCATAAAAGAATAACAGCAAACAAAGGATGTTTCTTCTAAATTTTGGTGTAAGCTGAAATTTTCTTTTTCAGCCAACCCACTACAGGTGTTCCAGAAAGCCAACGAGGTTACATTCATGGCGATATTCAATGGTACCTTTCCTGTGGATGTCTTCTTCCTTATGAGGTGTGGGTCAAATCGCAATCTTTTTCATGTATTTGTGTTATGTATTCAGAAAAAACATAAACAGCAATCCTGATGGGGAAAGAACCAAATATAGTACGTCGTTTAAAGTTCAAAATTTCATTTCATATCTCACCACTTGATCTTGTTCTATATTGAGATACAATATCACTTGTATAAAAACTCGTATTTGTAAGTCAATTTCATTGTTTCTTTTGACATTTGTCTGTTCTATATTGCAGTGGTCTTTTTGTGTCGTACGTGTTCCTTGGCCGGGCACAGAGGCTAAAAAAAGTGACCTTCAAAGAAATGAGCTTTTTCTACATCCACAGGTTTTGGAGGTAAACTAGTGATATCCCATATATGTTGTTTACAACAATTGATAGTTTTAAAGAAAAATATATTATACACGGAACGATTTCATCTTAATGTCATATATTAATACGTTTGTCTTTAGGCCTGCCTTCATACATTTGTATTGTCTTTTTTTTTTTCTCAGGGAAGGGGGTGGCGGGCGGAGGTGGAGGGGGAAGGATTCTTAACGCGTTGAGAAATGCATTATTTTCTATTTTCATTTGTGAAATGTCCGAATACTTTTGATTTCAGGATAACCCCATTGTATGCCATGGTCATCTTCTTGAACACCACCATTACCCCCTATGTAATGCATGGCCCTATGGCCCCGGAGTACTCGAACGATGAGAAATACTGCCGCATGAATTGGTGGCAGAATCTTCTCTATGTCAATAATCTGGTCAATCCAGCCGAAATGGTGTGTTGTGTCTGTTTTGATATTCGTATGCCTTTTGATTTTTTTAATTTGTCTGTCTGTCTGTTTGTCCATCCTCACATCCTATTCAGTTGACATTGTGAAAAGGAACATTGTTAAAAGATTAATGATGGTAACTGCATACTTGTACCTGAATATTTATTGTCAGAATTTCATAGAACAAAACACAGAACAATACACAAGGAATGGTCAAAATTAGATCAACATTGCATTATACAAATGTTTTACACAAATATATATTTGTCGTCATTATTCAGCGCACTTTTCAACTGAAAGTGTCCATTGTATTCTATGTTCATAAACATATGGATCAAACTCTTTCTATTTTTGGTCATCATTTAGTGCATGGGTTGGACGTGGTATCTTTCCAACGACATGCAGTTCTACGTTATATCCCCGTTGTTCCTACTGCCATTATTTTGGTGAGTAGAAGATCGATTCTCAACTTGTCTTAACTTAACATGTGAAAGTCACTATCTAGATCACGAGTGAGAGGGCGATATAGTTCCTAGTGATAAAGAGACTTTTTTACTTTTATCTGCATCGTTTTTCCATAACTTTGTTAGAGATGGTTTCTTTTTATTCAAGCCTCTTTTATAACCAAGTATTGCACAAAATGAACGAAATGTAAGAATTGAAGTGGAAATGAATTTCAAAAAACGGAAACTTATTTTTCACAAGAATTATTTTCTTTTGTATTTGCGGTTCAGGATACCAGCGTTGGGTGTCATACTTTGCGTCTTACTCCTGGTGGCCAGTATCATTGCCACTGGTCTTATATCTTATGGTGTCAGGAGTACGAGTGACGTTCCTAGCCTGAGTTTTATGAAGTGAGTACACACTAACACGTTTTTTTCTAAAGGAAATGGAAATGTGGGCAATTTTCTATTTATGTTCAGCTTACATGTCACCGTTGTCTATCGTCAACAATAGGGTAATATAAAGGACTACGTCTCGATATTCTCCTACGTAGATGTACATGTACATGTGAAGTGTGTTTTTTAACCTGGATCATATTATTCATAACGGCACACCTAGAGAGACAATATCCTGCAACTACCTTTATTCTCATTTTGCTCAGCTTAGATATGTTCACGAGTGTATACGTGGCGCCATGGTGCCGTGTGGGACCTTACCTGGTGGGTGTGTTGCTGGGATACGCCCTCAACAGAACGCAATGCACGCTGAAACTTCCCACAGTACGGTAGAATATTTCCACTCTACTTAATTATAGCTATGTTTTAATTTTTCATATATTATTTCATTCATTTAGTGCCGTACATGAAAATAATTTCCTCCTTTTTTATCTAGATTTATATTTAAATGTGCTAATTTTAAGATAAAAGCATCAGCAGCGTTCGAAAATAACTGAATAATAATAATAAAAAATAATAGTAATAATTTTTGACCGATTACCATGATGGTATGGCCATACGTGTAGACCCTATACTACATGTGATAATTGGCACTTGGTGGCTAAGACAGTTCCTACCGTCAAAGTCTTGTTTGCCAGGCAGCTGTACTCTTTGGTTGGATTACGTCACTGGGACTCTGTACGTCAGTCATCTACGTTTACCATGGCAACGTGCATGAAGGGGGCGGGGACAGTCTATGGTCAGATATAGGTGGCGCTGCCTATGACGCTATATCAAGACCAGCTTTTGCAATGGGTGTGGCCTGGATTATTTTAGCTTGCGTTACAGGACATGGTGGTATGAGAAAAATCAAATTAGTTCTTGCAGGCTTAGGGGCGAATTTGGAGCTTAGTATTGACATCAAGCGTTTAACAACTTTTTACTATTACTTAATTTGACTGCAGCTGTCAGCTGTCAGTGGGTTTATATGTAGAATTGTTGCAAAAAAAAAAAAAAAAAAAAAAAAAAAAAAAAAAAAAAAAAAAAAAAAAAAAAAAAAAAAAAAAAAAAAAAAAAAAAAAAAAAAAAAAAAAAAAAAAAAAAAAAAAAAAAAAAAAAAAAAAAAAAAAAAAAAAAAAAAAAAAAAAAAAAAAAAAAAAAAAAAAAAAAAAAAAAAAAAAAAAAAAAAAAAAAAAAAAAAAAAAAAAAAAAAAAAAAAAAAAAAAAAAAAAAAAAAAAAAAAAAAAAAAAAAAAAAAAAAAAAAAAAAAAAAAAAAAAAAAAAAAAAAAAAAAAAAAAAAAAAAAAAAAAAAAAAAAAAAAAAAAAAAAAAAAAAAAAAAAAAAAAAAAAAAAAAAAAAAAAAAAAAAAAAAAAAAAAAAAAAAAAAAAAAAAAAAAAAAAAAAAAAAAAAAAAAAAAAAAAAAAAAAAAAAAAAAAAAAAAAAAAAAAAAAAAAAAAAAAAAAAAAAAAAAAAAAAAAAAAAAAAAAAAAAAAAAAAAAAAAAAAAAAAAAAAAAAAAAAAAAAAAAAAAAAAAAAAAAAAAAAAAAAAAAAAAAAAAAAAAAAAAAAAAAAAAAAAAAAAAAAAAAAAAAAAAAAAAAAAAAAAAAAAAAAAAAAAAAAAAAAAAAAAAAAAAAAAAAAAAAAAAAAAAAAAAAAAAAAAAAAAAAAAAAAAAAAAAAAAAAAAAAAAAAAAAAAAAAAAAAAAAAAAAAAAAAAAAAAAAAAAAAAAAAAAAAAAAAAAAAAAAAAAAAAAAAAAAAAAAAAAAAAAAAAAAAAAAAAAAAAAAAAAAAAAAAAAAAAAAAAAAAAAAAAAAAAAACATCTGCAGCGGAATTTTCAAATAGTTTTCCTGGATCTCACTGTAGTACTAGTACACTTCGCCTCTGCGTAATAATGGCATGACTTAATTTCCCCCCCTCTTTCTCAAAGGTGTCGTTAACAGTCTACTGTCCCACCCGGCATGGACGCCCCTCAGCCGCCTGGTGTACTCTGTTTTCCTCATCCATCTGCCAGTCATGGTGTGGTTCGGGATGAGCCAGAGGACCATGCTGTATATGACCGATTCAATGATGGTAAGCCAGAGATATTTTCTGACAGTCTTCCAAATTATCTTTGTTGCTCCATCCTCCATTTTTGACCGTCTTCCAACAGAAAAAATCAAATACCCGTCAATCCTAACTTGAAAATCTGACCGTCTGGCCGTCTTCTGGAAGACCCAGAAGACGGCCACAATCCGCCCCTGTAATATCATAACACCACTGGCGGATCCTGGTTTTTACCAAGGGGTCGGGGGATTAGTCTGAATAAACATTGATGGAAGACGAGCAGAAGTAAATGTAATGATAGTATTAACATTAATTATTTCCCTCCGCTTGGTATTCTGTTTGTAATATAGTTGTTTGATATGTTTGGGGGGAGGGGGTTGGAGGTTAGAACGGATAGAAAGGGCACCGTCAAAACTTAGGGACGCTTTAAATGCCGCATGAAATTTTGGTAAACTATCATTATTACTTATTTAATGCACGTCAACAACAACAGCAATAGTAATGTAATAACAATAATGTTAATAAAATTGTCATTGGGGTTATTGAATGAACGGTTAATGATTTATTTCCAGTCATACGTATTTATTTCCAGGCATACATATTCATCGGCCACGTCGTGGTTAGTTTTGGCGCCGCTTTTCTAGTGTCCTTGACGATAGAGGTCCCCCTGGTCGCGGTGGAGACAGTGCTGCTTGGTAAGAAGCAATGGAGAAGAAAATAATGACCAAGGATTTTCCCTTCTCATAACTATTTTCCATGGGTTTATTGACACATGGAAAACATGCAAGGCGGTCAGATATGGTGGTGACAAACATTATGGAAAAATATAGGTCACCAGGTGACACTAGGTGCTGATGCTAGCATCAGTATTTTACAAGCAATGAATCTGGCCAAGTTTCATGCTTTATCGCAAAATTTAACAACTGTTCATGTTTTTGGACGATAAAGCTTAGTAGATAGGGCACAAATATAGCTACCAAAACCCAGCTGAGTGGGGACGACAACTCTATGAAAAGATTCTCGCTGGAAAGCGCACATAATTTGCCAAAGATATGTCTGTGAACATATTGCGAAAAAAGCAATCTGCGGTTCTGGTACAAAATAGGAGAGCATTGTGCATATATGTATACCTTACAGTTGTTACAGTAGTGGAAAATTCCAGTGCTGTCTTGGGTGATAGAAACTTATCCCCATTTAATACGTCTCTACAGGTATAGCGAGACCTTTGCTTTTTTATGAATGCCATATATAGCTTGGTTTTGATAATATACACATTCTTACCAAATGTATTTTACGTTTTATCAGGCCTGAAATGTCATGTACAATGTATCGTTGATGGTGGTACCAGTAGTCGTACTACATGTGCATTATGTATGCATCTGTATTCATGCAGCCTTAAATAAAACAACGTAGATGTATTGACAAAGTTCAAATGTACGTGCACCTGCATATACATGATTTTAATCGTAAATTTTAAAGTCTGCAGTTTCAAACACACCCTTAAAGTCAACGTGCCCTGTCACTTCCATTGCAACTTCAGCTAACGTCTTCATCACGACTGGATGTTTAAAATCTGGGTCAAGGTCGGCGAGAGGAACAATGGTATGGGCAAACTTCAGGGTGTCCGGATGTGGGATTTGCTGTAATTTTATACCCGATTTGACCTTTGTGTGATCGCTTAAGGTCGTCTTCCCGGAAGTTCCCAGTGCGTCTCTGTTGAACGCCGTGAAGCTAAATGTGACGTCATCCCAAAACGAAATATCCAAATCTATGGTATGGGGCCCATTCTTACGCAGCGGATCGCGCACGCGTAACAGCTTGTCCTCAATATCATACAACGCCCTTTTTAGATCATATGGGTCGCCAGGCGTTAGAATTTTGACGGCCATGTTGTGGTATGGCGGTTGGTTAGTGTCCAGTTGAGGCGGGGTGATAAAAACCTTGGACACGGCAACAACAGTGGTCCTTTCTCTGAGTAATCTAACAGCATTTGTTAGGTTCTTATCGGGACAGATGTTTGATCCAAGGGATATAAAAACGATGGGTCGGGGGAAATCTCCCCTTGTTCTTCTTATGTTTATTGTGCCAGGATAATGTATCGACTGCTGTCTTTCTTCTACCACACTAACTCTGACTTCAACCCAAGTGGTTTGAAAACCAACAATAGTTATCTTTGCGACATCTTCGGCAAGGTTTTCCGGGCTGGTAAACGTATGTGACGTCACATACTCAGCGATAGTTTTTGTGACGTCACTATGCTTGAGAAATGTCCTGGCGCCATCTGCTGTTTCTTTTCCGTCTCTGGTGCCGATGCGTAGCGCTAGACTGACAGGAACATTGTTTTGCCTGTGATCACCATGGACCTTCAAAGTGACGTCATTTATTTCAATTTCTTGATTTACCTCCATTGTACATTTCACACTGAAATGTAGAATTAAGCACGTTTGATCCTAGTTTTCCTATTTATAAATAACCAACCATTCATTCACAACAACCCAATTGTTTAGTGCTAAATTCACATAAACTCCTGTGTACTTGCACGACATATTACGTGATCGTTCAAGGTTTAACGTCTGATTCACGTGTAATCTGCTTATCTAGTGACGCTACGTGACGCAACATAGTCTCCATCTATCCAATGCAAGTCACTTACGAGGATGCAGCCGCAGAAATTTGTACCACAACCTTTCTACCCTTCTGTACAATTATTGCTAACGTTTTATGTTGAGCACTAAGCCCATAATATACACAACATAGGAGTTTGGTAACTAATTAACCAACTTAAGATATTGCTGATCTGTGTACGCTTTTATTGTCGTATCGTATCGTACCTACTTAATTGCTTATCGACGTCGGGGGACCTGGTTTTTCCTGATGTGTTTATCCCTTGCTAGGTAATAAACTGGGTGAAGATATAATGGCTTACAAGACTACTTCTTTCAGGACTTCTTTTACTGCATTCAAATGCAAATTGGTATCATTCGTATCCGACGTAAGATGCCATTCTTTTCCTGGTTTACAGCGTGGTTCCCTTTGTCCTCTTACAACAGGTCTGTGAACCATGCTGATCCACAGGTATCAAATGAGACTTAGTGCAGGTACGACAGGTTTGACTTTGATGGAAAAGAACTGATAACTTTTTTTCCGTATTAAAGCATTGTTTGAGACGAACACGAGGAATGTGAACTGGGTTGAACTTACAAGGAAGAGATAACGCTGAATTCGTTGATAATTCTAGTATTTTGTCCCATTTACACACGGTAGACTTAAAATAATGTGTCAAGCGAGTAACTACATGTACATTTCTTCCCAAATGTACCCAAATGTAAAACAAAGGCGCTGAGATCACTCGTGCACCGATTCGGCCGTTTTAATTTCAGTTGTACCAAGGAGTTATAACAGAAGGAGATTACACGCAAGCCTTTCTATTGTCCGATGTCTGTTACGGTGGGCGGAGCTAGCTACGGGGGGCCTCCTGTCTCAAGGTTTCGTCTGCGTCGCTCTCCTCAGCTTGGAGATACATTCATATGCGTTATTTCGCGTTAGAATTCGAGATCAGTAATGTCAAATCGCCGTTGTATGCTNTACTGCGTGCGAAAATGTCGGGGCGTTCAATGAATTCAACGTACTTCCGTCTTGGGAGTTTATGATCAGCGGGCTCAACCCCCATGATACATTATCAAACGATATGACGAAGTTAAAATTCTTATCACAATTTTCTTTTATTTCTTGGACAATTATTTTTTTCTTTCATTTTTATATATATTGACTAATTTACTAATAAAATGTGCCTTTTTAACTAACTAGAATATTTTAAAAAATGAAATAACCATCCAAAAAACAAAAGCAACATATGTAAATGTTATAAAAATCAACAAAAGGTGAGTAGACTTTTATTTAGAGGGAGTTATTATATTTATATTGATAATATTTTGATAAATATGACAGATAAATACATCCGAGGTCTATCTAGATGCATCCCAACAACGGTCACATCAGTTCATGTGCTTCCAGTCATCACCGCGTGTATATACCTGATAACAATTGGCTTTGTTTGCACAGTCTTTGTCCTGGGCTCGTGCTGAATCATCACCTGCACTGCTACACTTTTGTAAGTATATTGAATAAGTCATGGTTTAATGTTTAACGCGGCGTCCTTGTTTTTAAGATAATTCCACATAGTGGACTTAAATTAATGGCAGTTAGTGATTGTTAAATACCAAGTTCGAATAGTTGGCTTAGGAAATGTTGTCAAATATGGGTTATAGAAATTCGTATGCTTAATATGTTTGTTAAAGAAATCTGCTGATAGTATAACCTTATATAATCTAAGTCCATTTTTATATCTTTTTACTATAGCACATCATACGACAGTGACTCCTTTGGATGATAGTATATAAAACAAGAAATACGATACTTCACAGGAGAGCAACTCAGTAAAATACACACGTAACAACAGCTTCACGGATTAAACAGTAAATTAGACGAACTCACATGAAATGACAGATGCATCATGACGTCAAAGGACCACTTTCCAACTGTGACGTCATGAAAACAAGTCAATATAACCTAGGCAAACCTCACTAACGATATGACACGACCTATTAATAAAAACTGCAATATCAAAGGATGGAATTTCGATATATGGTGTTGACAGATAAAACTATCAAATGTGATATAACAGCAGAAAAAATAAAGGAAATTTAGGAAATCACTAAATTCTATAAAAACAAACAAAACAAATAGTCTTGAAATTTATACTTTATGAGACAAAGATAGGAAAATGGTTTTCATGGACGACGACTATAATATCATTACGCCAGCTATTTATCTTATTTCAATAGTAACAAGCATATTTTCACTGCTTGGCTGTTTTGTAATTTTTGCCACTTTTTTAATGTTCAAAGAAACTCGTTCTTCTTCTCGGCAGCTCCTGCTTTACCTGTCAATTGCCGATTTCTTAGTGTGCATAAGTAACGCGACAGGTGCATCTTGGGCGATGTCTGAGACGTCACGACCGAACATTGCTAACGTAAACATGACCCATGAATGCGAATATCCTCCCTCAGTTTGCGTAGTTCAGAGTTTTATAGGGACCACTGGGTTAATTTCGTCCTTCATCTGGACGATAATCATAGCCTGGGAAGTCAGAGAATCACTTCTGAAAAATTCGCCAAGCTGGATGGATAGGTTTCAATGGATATTGCACGTCATCGCATGGGGTGTTCCACGTAAGTGTTTATATTTTTTAAAATTGTTACATTGGTAGTCCTTCAATCCAAGGAAGACTTTCTGTGAGCTACTGGTGTCCATGAGTAACTACAAGTATCTACACAGAAAAAGACCTGTGGGTGAGATTAAAGTGAGAAAACCGATGTTAACTTTTATTTGAACGTGTTATAAGTGGTTAAATATTGTGTTAAAACCAAAAACAGTTCGAAAGCTCTTAAGCAACCATATTTTTAATACAGCTGATCTACATATATTTATTCATTCATACAATGCACATGTATGTTATGCAGCATTTTCAATATCAGAGATCATTTAGAGATAAAACAGAATTAGAAATGTATGCAAATCTTAATTAATTTAGTTATATATTCATAAATATTTCAATTATAAAATCATTGATTGCCCTTCTGCAGTCACCGTGACCGCCATAATAGCCCGATACCAGCGCCTCGGTTTCATCTACTCCCCAGACCGCAGTATAGGGGGCACTGCATTCACCGCAGGATGGTGCTGGATTAAGATCTGCCAGGCAGACTTCGACCGACATGACCTAGGTTTGTGATCTTCAATGACGTAGCCTACTATTTGTGGTCTCTGAAGGGAGTTCATTTATTTTTAAAGAATTAGCCCTTTGAACCAGGGGTGAGGGGAGGACTTACGTAGGCCTACACATCGACAAGTTAATAAAGTTTAAATGGCATATGGCTTTCAGGTAAATGTAGTAAGCACTTAATTCAGACTCTTTTAGAACCGATTTACGTTTTAGTATTTTTACACAAAAGGCAGCTGGAAACTATTTCATCGAATATAAAATAGTTCACACAATAGTAACTATATATATAAATATTATCTAGTTTGTTAAAGTAGAAAAATCTCTTAGGTTTAATGGTGGGACTACCTCTGGCAGCGGGTAAGGTTTGGGAAATCTTCGTCTACTTCACCGTGCCGGTAATTTACACTGCTCTTCGCTGGAATCTGAAATCCACGGCAAGTGCTCTGACGTCACGATGTGACGTCATTTTTCTCTCTTCTCATCTTATAGTGTCAGCATTTTTTACCTCTGTCCCGTTATTTATCCTGCAAAACTCACATTTAGTCTTCTTTCCTGTAAGTTAACAATAATTTGTTTGATTTATGGACTTGCTAGGATGAATTATTATGGACTGACTTACTCCTTCATGCAGTCAATCTATCATCCCACCCTCTAACAGTATGTACAGGAAACCGTTTATTCCCTATTAGAAAAAGTGTCATTAGAGGCAGATAAAATAAACTTCTTTTCTGTCACTCAGATCCGCCAAACAGAATCTATGTACGTGGACCGAGCTACCCAAGACGCCGTGAGTCGGGCTGACCGCGTCATGAAAGCCATTCCTATCATTTTTATATTCTTACGCATTTGGGGGACCATACGATTTGTGGCTAACAGCTGCTATTGGGTAGTGTATGGGGCAGTAGAGAATCCTACATTCCACACTGTCGTCAACGTGGTATTAGCAGTATTTCAGGTACGTGTTTATTGTGTTTTTATACGATAATATCATTATGTCGCCTAGATGATACATGTACATTGAATTTAATGTGAACTGTCCAATCGTTACTTTGGCACCTACGTCTATATGCTGGGCATTATGGCACTTATAACAATTGCGTATAAAATTTAATCAATTCATTAATATCAATATAAGTAAATAAACAGGTAAAATAAATAAATAAAATTATTTCGAAAAAGAATAATATGTCTACATTTAAACAAGGTTACAAAATAACCAATTCATTGTTGTCCTTTTATACCAGGCATTCGGCGACAATGGACAGGGCATTGGCAACTGCCTCATTTATTGCTTCCTCACCGATTCAGTGCGCGTCCGGATATGTGCCGTCTGTGGCCTCCGCCCCGAGACCGCCGACTTCGACTCCATCAGAGACTCGTTAAGCGCGGCCATCTTAGATCACACAGAGCCGAGCAGTGGTGTTGAGATAGCTCGAGGATCGAGTCACAGTCGCAGGTCCACACCTCTCAGTTCGAAAGGTTCCACCTTCGCTAAAAATACGCCCGAGGATATTTTCATAGTAGGAACGCCGACTAGTTTAAACGCAGACACCTGAATAACGATTGATTTGAACGCTCTATAAACGACAGACAGATCCACACTATGTCAAATTATGGTATTAGAACACAGGCGTCTAAGCATAGACGCCTTAAAATAATAAATAATATATAATAAGCTGAAAATATTATTAATTCTTAAATATGAAAAAAATATTAACAAAAATAACATGTTTATGAAGCAGCTTGGTACATTTGCCATGCTACGTTTACCGGATAAACGACCTTAAAAAATAACAACATTTACTGCTGTTGCAAGAAACCAGCTTTTTCATAATCTCTTTCGTGAGTGTGTGTGTGTGTGTGTGTATACGGGTTTCTATAGCTGTGAATACCAAAAAATGGTTGAGCTTTTTTAATTTTTGCCGGTATCTAGAATTGTCATGACCTTCTTATTTTTGCCCACGTGATGTTTTTATCTAGCTTGACTTTTTCAATCCATGTAATGCTAGTTGATTTACCTGTAAATGTACAATATATATATATATATATATATATATATATATATATATATATATATATATATATATTACTACCACTACATGTACTACTACTACTACTACTACTACTACTACTACTACTAATAATAATAATAATAATAATAATGATAATAATAATTCGTCCAATTTCACTTGATAGAAGTTAGCCTATTGAACACGACTACGCTGCAAATAAATAGTTTGGGGCTGCCATAACTTCTTATTTTTGCCGCCGCGAGCATCTTCAATTTTCTGTGAACAAAAAGAAATACAGAAAGAAGAAGGATAAATTCCCTACCTCGCCTATGACGTCAACGACACAGCGACACCAGGCGGCGACACGCATTCTGTCAGTGTTGTCATGATCCACATACTGCTCAGGGGTCACATGAGGGGGGGGGGGCATTTTTGATTATTCTGGATAACAAATCACATGGATAAGATAAAGGTGACCCTAACTGATATACCGGCAAAGGTCTTAAGCCTGAATTGCAGTTTCATATACACTCCCACTTGTATATTGTTTTATTTAAAACTTTTTTATTTTTAAAAAAGACAGTTTTGCTTCACTCAGAAAACTCAGGGTCAGGTCTGAGGACGGGCAGAGTGGAAAGTTGTCACCTCACTTCGCGCGACATTTTAAGACCAGAATGTTGTCACCCTCAACCAACTTCATGACATACATACTCAAAACACTCCCTTAAATTTTTCTCTTGGTTTCACTTTTGCTTCTGTCTTACAGACTTTCTGGATATTATATGTACATAGCTGGTGCATGTGTTCGTGTTTTGATATTTAAACCACCCCGATTTTGACCCTCTACCTCTGGAGAAGGGGGGAGCTTTTTCAGTAATATGATATTTAGGTCAGCAGATAGCTTCTTATCAGGGGATGTTAAATTGCAGTCCATCTGTGGATTTTTATCTCATGTGGTAGGCCTATACATTACGTGATATTTGCCGATTATGTCCTGACCTAGATAATGTAGAATGGGGTGAGTTGAATTTGCACAGTAAACACAGTGAAGAGAGCAGCAAAAGGTAATTTCATCAATTTAATTTTCTTCCAACGTTGGACAACCAGTATGTGCTTTTCTTAACAACGTAATCTTGACTATTAATCCAGTTGCATGTTGCATTTAATTATCATTATGAATAAAAGATCCGCTGATGTTATTTGCATTTTATAAACAAGGCGATTTATATAATCTCTCCTAAATGACTGTTTGGTACTTTAAAACATGCAAAACCGGAAATACATTTAAAAGTTGTCAACAATTTCAAGATTCATTGGCGCAATGTGTGGGCGCACACCAGGTAAAGGCTGGCCTATGATGTCGCTTCTATGAAAATAAGATATATGTACGCTTAAAAAGTGGTTGCAATTTACTGGTCAATTTGTTAAATATTAACATTCCTTTATAGATTGGTCCACAACACGTATACAGATTCACCCAATATGGTCTTGTTATCAAGCGGTTGAGTTTGAGACTACAGCGCACCTGTAAAAACGACCTTCTGTGGAATTCTCTGGGTTTGCCACAAACCCCGTAGATTTCTATGCGGCAAGACAGGCAAAACATCTGAAAAGAAGGAAGAAAGGTGCAGATATCTGATAATACAAGTATCTCCATTGCAAGGCAAAAATGGGATCCGACTTCGATAGAAATGTGTACATTGTGGCCATAGTCACCAGCTCGCTCTCTTGTGTTGGGTGTTTTGTGGTATTTGCGGCCTGGATCTTCCTGAAGGACACCCGTTCTACAGGACGCCGCCTCCTGCTCTTCTTAACAACGGCCGACTTACTGACTGCGGTGGGCAACCTGATTGGCGCGTCTTGGGCGTTGGAGTTGTCCTCTAGCGGCCGTCCTGCCATGAACAGTTCTCAGGTCACACCTTTATTTAGTTTTCCACTTCATCTTATTTCTTTCATTCCAAGTTTTTATTTGAAAAAAAGGAACTTGAGTGTAAAATTCTATGAATGTACTACATAGTAATGTGCATTATACCAATAATCATTGCGTTTGTTCCCCTCTAACCAACGTCATTCATTCATAGGCCTACGTGTAGGGCCTACAGTACAGTGCTTGTATAGGCCGACCTCTATTCCTATCACTGAATAGATCAAACTTCCAATCATTTTGTATGCATGAAGTTTATTATTTAATTCATTCATTGATTAATTAACACATCGGTGTATCTATTCATTAATTTAGCCTACATTTCTTCTGTAAATCATGCCAAGTGTTTTGATTCCGTTTTCTGGCACCCTTGGTTTCGTTGGTCTCTGACAGTATACAGGTACAAGCATCAACTAGCAGCCTAGCGCAGAATTGGAAACCTACGCAGCAGCCAAGGCCCTGGGAGTAATATTGAATGTTAATTCCACTGGGGCTTTTCTGACTGAGTGATAATTCCCAGAATCACTTTTTGTTTTTTCACTTTTTTTCTTGAATTCTCATCATACTTAAATTCCAGGCACTTCACAGCTGTCAATACCCCAACGGTATCTGCGTAGTCCAAAGCTTCCTATCCAGCGTGGGCAGCTTGGCGTCGTTCTTCTGGACCATGCTGATCGCGTGGCAGGTGAGAGAGACGCTGGTTGGCGAGCGGAGCAGCTGGATGGACAAACCCAAATACCAGTGGCTACTTCATCTCCTGGCCTGGGGTGTCCCGGGTAATAATAATAATAATAATAATAATAATAATAATAATAAAAATAATGCATGGTGACATTGCATACACTCAGCAAGACGTGCAAATGCGCCATTTTGCATCAGAGTTACAGTGATTCGATAAAATAAGCAACTTGATTCTAACACATTGTTTAATCATTGGTTTGTTCATTCGTTTTGTTACTTATATTTCTATTATTGCAATGATCAATAACATCATTCCTTATTAAATAAATTTTATTATTTTAGTGTTGATACTTACGGCCGCAGCAGCAGATGGCAAACTTGGCTACTGGCAAAGCTCGGAAAACCACACTTCGTTGATTCCAAAAACAACGACAGTGTCACCAAATATGTCGATGACCTTTTTTTACCATGAAACAGCATACCCTTCGCTAGATGCCACCAAACCAAGACAAGACAACACCGTCGTTGTTGCTGTTGACGGACATGCCGAAAATGCAGCATTTGAAGGGGGCGGTTACAGTGGAAGTAAAGAGGATCTTCTGCGTGGAAGTACGGCTGGTTGGTGCTGGATTAAAATCTGTGAAGGCGATGAGCTGCACTGGGGCCTAGTGGTGTTCCTCACGCTGCTCACTGGGAAGGGCTGGGAGATGGTGGCGTATATTGTGGTGCCGACCATTTACTTCAACATAAAGGGGAAGTTGCAGCGCACGGTGAGTATAGGCTTTGACGGGCTTTTGTTATTGCAGAGCCTGGCATTTCTATGCTTTGTTTCTGCCCGTGAAAGCCTGTGTCGTAATAACATTACAGTTTCTTCACATTCAAATCATAAGACATGCCACATGAATAAATATGGAATGGTTTATTTGTCCAAGGTATATTGGATATTTTACTGTACTAAACCTGCCGAAACGATTTTATTGTCCGAAGAACGTTTGGTTCCATAATTACAAGGTTATTTTGGTAGCACCACAAGATCCACTCTTTCCTCCTTACTCTTAAATAAATAAATAAATAGATAAATAAATAAATAAATCATTTAAGGTTGTTTTAGTCTTGACGCCAACAGCAACAATAATTTCAGTGTAACCTTTTATTTTAATTAAAATGATTCAATTTTTATCTTTGTAGGTCCTGAAAGCGTCAGCTTCCCGTCTGGATAAGGCAGTTTTAGAGGCCGTAAAGAAGGCCCACCGCGCGATGACGGCTGTTCCTTTAATGTTCATCGCGTTAAGGATCTGGGGGACCATCCGGTACGTGGCGAACATCACAGTCTGGATCACCGGATCATCAACAGAACCGTGGTTTGAAGTGCTGTTTAACAAGATCTTTTTGGTTTTACATGTAAGTAGTTATTTGTTTGACACCATAAGTTTCGAATGATTTACTTTATACTTTTTTCTTAGGAATGACAGGTTTTTTTGATGGTGTGCTGTTTATATTTTGATAAGTACTTTTAATAATAATTTGATAAGTACTGAAAATAGGAAGAAAGTAGTCAAACCCGGGGAAATAAGGACATGAGACGGAATTTGAGTAAAAAAAAGAAAATTAAGCATTTTATCCTAGCAAAAGTAATGTACGTCAGTGATATCTTGTACCGCATTCTATTATGATAAAGTTTTTTAGTTTTCTCTCACATATTTACATTTGGGGTCCTCTTTGTTTTTAAGGCTATAGGCGACAGCGGGCAGGGCCTTGGGAACAGCCTAATCTACTGCTTGCTTGCCGATAGGGTGCGCGATAATATCTTTAGACATTTATGCGCAAGCTGCTGTTGGAGGAGAGAAACAGGACTGCGGTACAGCCTAAACTTACCACGTGACACCTCCATGTACGATGAGTCACGTGACTACACCATAAGCGAAGATACGACCACCAGTCATAGTGGCAGCGAAAGCGAAACTAGTGAAAATGCTCCCATATTGCGTCAGAAGTATGACTTGTATACTTAATCATTTTTTCTCTTTTCATTTTTTTCGTTCTGCAGACTAAATCACACGTGGGGAGATTTTGCTCTATTTATAAACCCTTTGTGTACAATTGTGTGAAGAGAAAATAATGTCGCTTCTGTAAAATACTGAAATTAAAGTTTAATTCTAAGCATTGCTTTTATTCCAAACATTGTCCACGGACTTATCAGTTTTGTTCACAAGGTTTTATTATATTGATTGTGTTGTGGAATATGTAACTGTTATCACTCAGAGCAAATAAAAGGGACCCACTGCGCGTGTTATCACTTTTGATTTTGTTTTGTTGTCTATGTGATCAGATATCTCTATTCAGAATAGATAAAAGATTGTTCCAAAACAAGCAAAACAATTAAGAGAATATGATTAAAAATTAATAAACTATCTCTGTACACCAAACTACTTTATTTCCCGTTTTCATATAGTACCAATTATAATTGAATAAATGCGGCGTTTCATAATTCTGCTTGCAGACAGCAGTAACTGAAACACCACCAAAAATGCTGATAACAATAATAATGATATATAGATTAAATGTGAAGCCCACAGCAATGGAAGCGAAAAACGCCCCTCCCCCCTGAAATTCACACTGACCTCCTTTTGTGTTGCAATGTTGACGCATATCCCACGAGTGCCTATTGAAACACTCACGTGACCTCATTAGCTGCTGTTGTGTCTAGGGTTTCTGCTTTCCTTCCAGTGCCACTACTTCAGGCATCGGGTTATATTAAATAACAATCAGAACTACACCGTGCTAGCAATGTAAGTACCATTCAAAATTAATGTTCCTCCATTATATTTTGTTTAAAGTGTTGTTAAAGCAACAGACGTCTGATAAATCTCATATTTAATTTAAATTCACTTATACGATTTAAGATGATGCGATGCCCTTGTATGTTCAATGTGGGCACCTACTTGCTTATCAACCACTCAAAAAAGCCTGTATCGGTTTGCGACCACGAAGTAGAATGAAGTGCTGAGATGTCAATATTTCTATAACCTATTGAATAAGACGTGAAAACGGGAATAGGCAGCAGGAACAGTGACTTCAGAATGCGCTTAACTGAGCCTCTGATGTAATATGATATGATTTGACATATGCTTTGTTTGCAGTGGCATGTTCAAATCCTTTATCAGCTCTTTGACATGTTCTCATTATTGTTTTATGACTGCTTTCATACCAAGCAGAACACTCATTTTTGGATGGTGAGTGTCTTTTAAGACTGTTAAAACATCTAATTGCGCTACAGGCTGTTTTTTTTTTTTTTTTTTTTTTTTTTTTTTTTTTTTTTTTTTTTTTTTTACTCGCTTTCACAAGAATTCGCTTTACGGGTCTTGTCAAGGGCAGAGGCTCCGTTCAGGTGGCACAGTCACTTATGCAATTAACTTGTCCTTCTCTCAAGGTATACCGGTACATACTGTATCGATAGTCTATATGTCTCGTAGTAAAAAGTGAAATTTTTAATCAGGATATTTTCCTTGTTGCACCAGAACAACTGGTATCTAACCACACGTTGCAACACAGTCTTGATTCTGTTCTAATATTTTATTTTCTATGTAAAAGTGAATTGATTTACGTGTTTGGGGGCATACGTGCATTTCCCGAACCCAAAATAGAAAATACGAAATTTGCAATCATCTTTCTTTATCAGAATCACCATCAGAACCGACCACCATGGAATCAAATGTTACCAGTACCTGTGGAGTGCACGACTTCCAGTGCATTGCCAGCATCGCCGCCATCACCACTTGTATCCTTTCTTGGGGAGGCTGCTCGGTCATCTTCGCCTCGTGGACCCTGATGAAGAGCGTCCGGACTCCAAACCGACGCATGCTTCTATATTTAACCATCGCCGATTTCTTTGTGGCAACGGGCCAGCTAATGGGGGCAAGCTGGACGCTGAATCGCCACCTGCATTCAAATGGGACAAATTACAGTTGCGACGACCCTGATCCAGTCTGCGTCGTGCAAAGCTTTGTGTCAACTTTGGCGACGATGTCGTCGTTCCTGTGGAGTATGCTGATAGCGTGGCATGTCTACAGGTCGGTCCTGGTGCCGGGGACGGGGACGTACTGGCTGGACAGACACCGCTGGGCTCAGCATCTTCTGTGCTGGGGAGTACCTTGTAAGTACAGAGGACTTGAGTAAACTGGTACATACATGTACAAGTACGCAGTGCGTAGTGGATAAATTGTGCATTAAAAGGCTCACTTAAGTACATTTTAAGTATACTGGTACAGTCTGGTACATACACGTACGAATACGGCTCACTAAATGCACACCAACATCAGTAGTTCATTACCTGGACATATTTTATTGGCACGTTTGGGAAGAAGAGAGCCAAGATGTGTATTCCCCGTGCACGTGTTATTTTGAGTGTACTTCTTTATTATCTTTACAAGCGAAAAAAAAATACAAAATGTCTTCTCAACGTACATGTTCTTTTGGTTTTGGAATTCCCTTGGAATTCCCTTGAACATACTAGGACATACGCAGATAAAGCTTTTACTTTTCCACGGGAAAAATAAAAGCAATTTATATATTGCAATTACATTTACTCTGAGCGCTGCTTACAAGTAAAGACTACTAACTAGAAACCTCAACCACTTCCTTCTCCGGACATTTGGTACGTGTATAGATAATGTTACAAAATGCAACAATATCATATTCAAGAATGTTTCACTCTCATGAATCTCCTGCTTACATTTATGTCACCGACATATAGATTAACTTGAAATTTACATTGAACTTTTATTTCATGCGTTTTTTTTTAAATCGTAGTGGTCATTGTGGTGGTCACTGTGTGTTGTGGAAGGCTTGGACTGGACACTGTCAAAGGCAAGAACGTACCCACAATTGCCAGTGGAATATGGTGTTGGATAAGAACTTGTGAAGATGACTTGATGAAAGGAAATGGGACCGCCCCAGAGATGCCTGCAGTAATGACTTTCTACATGATCACCGGGCAGTTTTGGGTATACCTGGCGTTTCTTTTCATCCCCACGTGTTATATTCAGACGAAAAGAAGGATAAGTTCATCGGTATGCTCTCTCTCTCTCTCTGTCTGTCTTTCTCTCTCTCTCTCTCTCTCTCTCTCTGTCTCTCTCTGTCTGTCTCTCTCTTTTTCTCTCTGTCTGTCTGTCTCTCTCTCTCTCTCTCTCTCTCTCTCTCTCTCTCTCTGTCTGTCTGTCTCTCTCTGTCTCTCTCTCTCTGTGGGTGTGTCCTTGTGTGCACGTGTATGCTCGCTATTCCTAAAAAAATCCTATTCAACGTACACTTCATTTCCGAAACCACCAACCGTAAAAATACTGCTCAAAATATAAAAAGTTTCTATACGGAGATGTATTTTTAAAATGATATATATATGAGAGTCATTTTCATTTTCCTTACGTTTGAAGGTCAACAGTTCCTTCTACAACCCAGCTGCGTTATTTGAGAGTGCTCAAGAAGCCGACCGCCTCATGACTTGGGTGCCTGTCACATTTTTACTGCTGCGGATGTGGAGCTGCGTCCGTTTTGTCGGCAATATCCTCCTAGTCTTTAATGAAGAGACGCCGTCACAAGTGTATACTGTGCTATTTAATCAGGTGTTTCTGGTGATACAGGTAAATGACGCCTTTATTTTATTATTGTTATTATTTTATAATTATTATTGTTGAAAGAAAAACATCGTGTTCGCATGCAATTCTTTCTGCCTGGTATGCAATATTGGTGTTGGTCTAGAATAATATACATTTTACTACTAAAATACTGTATTTAATTATTTTCTTTGTCTCCAGGCAGTCGGAGACAGCGCCCAGGGGTTCACCAACTGTGTCCTGTACTGCTTACTCACAGACTCCGTCAGAATTGAGCTCAAGAAAAAACTCGGCTTGCGTATAGGTCTCGGACGAGACACGCAAACTGAGGCGAGTAGGTCAGGACCAGGCGAGTGGGCCCGCGCCCGCCGAGAAAGACAACACAGAGACAAAGGGTCGATGCATGCTCAACTGAATATCCAACATGAAAGTGACTCAGAGACAGAACCGCTACTGCGGTCATCTTTTAATGCCAGTACCCCCACTTAATGAACCTAAGGGTGTAGTCCCAGAGATTTAGATCGATCCAGGGATTAAGATTTAGATCGACCTAACTCCCTGGGGGTTCACGCTAAATTGCAGTCAGCCGAGCGCGCACCATAGTTAATTACCCCCCTACAGCTTTCAGTAGGCGGGACAGACGCTTAAGCCGGCTAAGCTGACAGTAATCTAGTGAGACTCCCCACAGGGATAGATCGATCTAAAATCTATGGAAATGGGGTCTAAACGTTCGCCCGCAGTTCAGGGCCCGTAACTCGAAAGCATCGCTCACTGTGACAGAGCGCAAGCGTCTCGATTCCATAACTCGCCCGTACTCGCCCCATATAATACTTTGTAGCCTCTATGTGATATCGCTATTCGCAATACGCGATGCTTTCAAGTTACGGGACCCAGGGCAGTTCCCTTGGGGGTCAAGGGTGGGGGTACTATTGGGGATGGTGCACTTGTTTCGCTAATTGTTTGATTTACATACGTGCAAGAGTGCATATCTCAACGGGCTTGTTTCCATTAATTACAAAACAGGGCTCGTTTTTATTTTCTGAAAAGGGTGACCTTTTTACCCCCCCCCCCTTAGTTGACCCAGTTTGACGGATGCTTCGGATTCAATCAAACTAATCACAATGAACCTTAACTGACCAAAAGGACCACCTTAATCACCTCTATCCCAGCACCATCCCACTCTCCACATCTATACCCCCATCATCCCGGTGACTACCCACCTCTATCCCACCACATACCTCTATTCTATTAGCCTACCATCCCACCATCATCCCACCACCCACTTCTATCCCACCACCCACCTCTATTCCATTACCATCCCACCTACTATTCCACCTTTTCCCACCACCCACTTCTATCCCACCGCCCATTTCTATCCCACCGCCCACTTCTATCCCACCACCCACTTGTATTTCATCACCATCCCACCACCCGCCTCCATCCCAACACTTATACAAAAAGAATTGGAGTATCACATCGTGCCTCAGTGTAACTGTAAAGTTTCAGTTTTCTTTTGCTCTCTTTGTTGAAGCAGTCATAGAGTTTTAATTGTAACTTAAAATTGTGATAAGTAATTTTTAAATTGATGGGACAGATTAGTTTAGCTCTTGCCTGTAGTGTTATGCTTTGTATATGTTTTGAAAAAGATTAATAGAGAAGAGGCGGTTGTTGCTGGCCTCAGATGACATCATGCACATTTTAATGATTTGAACTTTGATCTACAACTTTCTACAGACTTATCAATACAGTATTTGTTTTAATCTCAGCGTGATATGAAATATCTATTTTCCAGGACGATGTGCGTATGAACAGTCTATTGAAATAGGCATCAGAATCATATTTTTATTGTTCGAATAAAGGTTTTTGATTTTTGAATGAAAGGGCACACGTACACCGTGGTAGCTCCTCTTACAAAACTTTTCTGCTTCCCCGAATCGTCGTCATTTTACAAAATCGGTGAAATTTTTTTCTCGCCAAGTAAGAAGCTTGCAGATTAAAAGAGTTAAAAAAGGGACCTTTTAATTGCCCCATTAATTGATCTAAATTGACACGACAAGGAGCCTAGATCAAGTTTTGATTTGATCTTTAGGTCACGATACTGAGGCAGATCTTGAACAAATACCGTTTTATTTGTTCAAGGACAGGTAGTAAAATATAATAGTAGTAAGAATTGATTTAATCAGTGGCATTTGAAGTTCTAGCCTAAACTAGTTCCGGTGTAGCGTGACAGAGAGTCCTCCATGCTGAGTCTCCTTCCCATTCATTTGTACTGGTATGCCTCGCCCTAGATTTTTACCCACTTAGATCAGGCTAACTTTAACCATTATAACTAAATGAAGGGCAGACTTTCAGTAACAGGGACCCTCAGTTTCGAAACACAGGGTCTGTGTAAAATATTATAAAGGGGTTCCAAGCCGTGCATTGCTTTTCTTATATTTTCCCGGAGTTGCAATACCACAAGGCATTATTTTACGTAAAAATTATAATTAAAACAAAGTTTTCCTTCTCACAGGGATAATAATTATTTGAAGGGAGTCCCGGGATATTTTGTCATGGGAATTTAGAAAATAATTATGCGATAAGGCTAATATATTATAGTGACACAATTAAAATTAACTGAAAAAGCAATTTCTTTTGGGGTTCTTTTTCTGAAAAAGTGGACCTTTTAACTAGTCTGCCTCGGTTCACTCTTGGGGTAGGGAAAGTGTCTTAACATCTAATTGCGCTTCAGGGTGTTTTTTACTCGCTTGCACAAGTTATTATTAAAGGTGGGGTGCAAATATTACAGTTTCTTCACATTCAAAATAGTATATTTGTCCAAGGCATATTGGAAATTTTACTTAACTAAACCCACCGAAAGAACGTTTGGTTCCAGCAATTCAAGGTCATTTTGGTAGCACCACAAGATCCACTCTTTCCCCTTATTCTTAAAGGTACATACATGTGCGAACTGAGCATCGGTGGAGCGTGGATTCCCAGTAACGCATGCAAACCACTTCTACTATGTTCTTACACGACTCAAATAAATTCGACATGCCAAGGGATAAACTGAATTGATCACTCAATCAGCCATAAAAGAGCTTTAAACTGCTCCTTTCTTTAAATTTTTGGTCGGAAATTTAACCTACTTTCGTGACCTACTTTTCTGCCCCATTGACATACAGCATAGAATGCTAGCAGAAAAATCTGTTCAAACATTATTTTTGGGTAAAATTAAACAATGCCTTTTGGTAATTCTCTTAGTTATACTACTTGAAACTATATGCTGGCATTTGGTCGGTTTTTGTGACAAAAAATTTGACATTGTATGCATCTTTAAATAAATAAATAAATGTTGCGGTTGTTAATTAAGGATGTTTTAGTCTTGTGCAGTT